GGCAGCCAGTGAGAATACAATCAAGTGGTAGTAACACGTCATGAATTCACATGATAGTCAGGCAAACCACCGTGATTGTGATAGAAGTGAAATAAAAGTGTGTTCAGCAGTCAGATCTCGTAGCTCAGTTGGTAGAGCATTGGGTCGTAAACCCGGTGGTGGGTGGTTCGAATCCGGCTGTAGTCTAAATTTTCATTTCATCATTAATCATCGTCGACTACAAGTACTGGTCTGTCAAACCACGGCTATCTTTATATAGTCAAAAGGATAAAAATGCAGATGGAAAACACGATTGACATTCAGATATCGAAAAAAGCGGATTTTGGAACGCTCATATGCAAAGGATGAATAATTTAAAGTTGGATAGACAACATAGTTTCAGAAAAAAGTGCACACCTCAAATTCAATTACTAAGATATCTTAAGAAAACAGTTTGAGTGACAGTACAGATGAAGTGTAATTGTTTACTGGTCCCTAGAGAAATGAAAGGGGGCGAAGTTTAAATGTTTTCAAATTTTAAGATGACTCTAAGGGTCACCCTAGGAACTACTTAAGTAGCCAATCATTTTTCTTCAATTTGAAAATAACTACCTTTCCATCCAAAATACGGAAAGCTAATTGTTTATTTCAGCAACTTTTAGCGTGGCGTTTAAAGTCACTCTTGCCAGGATGACCTTAAGGGTTCACTTTTCAAAGATGCTCAAGGTTAGTTTCAGTATCAATGGGTTGGTACTTATGTAACAGTTTACCAAACACTGAAATACACCGACAGACATTCTAGCCACTTAAACCAGTAAAGGATTGCAAACCTTATCAAGTGACTCACTTCACTTAAATGCTTGACATCAAAACAATCAACGAACTGACTGCCAAGAGAATGGGGATATAAAACAGTAGTACATCACATCGATTTGTTGCACATTAAAAAAGTAAACACAAACACCCACATACACACATAAAAGAAATGATAAGAAAGATGGCGTTCAACGTTCAAAAAAGTAAATGGATATATTCCATTGTCATCACTTTTGAGCTGCGATACTTGAAGTTTCTGCTTCATAGATAAAGTCAATGAGGCATGGAAGCACTATTCAACAGAATGGGAAAAGATTTGAATGCAGACACAACTTTTTATCAGGACTAATGAATAAATGAATGGCATAATTGAAATGTTGAAATTGAAAACGACATCGGAGAAATACAAAAACAACCAAGTCAATCAGAAGAATGTAGAAAGATAAATCACAAAACTTTATGACAGAAATAAAGTTAACACAAATGATAACTTTCAAACTACAAGCGTCTGCTTCAAACTTCGCTCTATGCACATCGAAATGGGTAAATGTGTAGTGAAATAAGCTCTCAAGTAACAAGTGGGGCTCATAATCTAGTACATAAACATATGTTTAAGAGTTGTGGTTCACTGGTTTAGGTAGTCGACATTGAACCCAGTGGGTGGGTCATTGGTTCAAGCACCGATTCGCCTACCAAGTGAGGGTCTTGGCAACCAAGTACATGCATTAACTCTTATACAATAGATGTAGCTCGTAACCACCTATTGCACGAACATACAAGTGGTTGTTAAGTGTATTTTTATTTTTTAATTCGATATAAATCAACTAGGTAATAGGAATAGAATGGAATTCACTGAAGGCACGAAATTCCTTGTAGGAAACGTTCAATCAAACACTGAAATTCTGTACACTTCACTTACATCTTAATATAATTGTAGTTGGTGAGAACGCTATTGTATGGTACAGTAAATATGACAAGTCAACGAGTTCTATGAGATAAACTAATCATCTACTGACGTTTGTGGCTTTGATCATACGTGTCTTCGTAGCATTGCTCGCGTTTGATAGAATCATCGTGTGAGCAATGCTGAGGTCAGGTAAAGAATACTAGGAAATATAGGCACGTTGGTCGATAAAGTTATGAACCCTCATTCTCTGAGGTGGCTTGGAAGTGTATTCCTCATGCCAAGCAACCGTCAACCTCGATTAGTTTCGAAAAGGGTTCAGTGTGACCAGACAAGGACGTCGCTTCAGTGCATGAAGTTTCGCAACTTCAACCGATCAATTTCCGTGCGAGGCTGGATGTTGATTTCGTCTATCTGTTTGTATGGGGATAGAGAAAAAAGACTAGTCCGGAGAGGGACCAATCAAAATGTAATTTATGTTATCACTTCTACAGTTAGACAGACAGGAGGTGGATTAGTGAAACAGCGAACTATTTATACATTGAAGATATTTTCCTATGCTTTTTGTTTTCGGTCTCTCGACCCCAATACACGTTTCAACATGTCTATCGTGTCTTCTCCATTAGCAAATCAGGTGGGGAATCAACTGAGAATTAGTTGAACATTGGGGGCTGACACTCGATATCCGTACATCACTAGCGGCCATAGCATATAAAGTTTTCGAACCATGATAGTTGGCGTCAGTGATGGAATATTGGGGAATGGATTCTTCGAAGTTGAACAATTTCCTCGAACAAAATATGAAGATTACCGAGATTCTTGCGCAGTCAAAAAGTTCTGATAGTGAGTCATCGCCGACTACGCCTGTTTTAATAGCTCCTTCAATTTATGTCATCACCAACAGCATCACTGAATTTCATTACGAGCCTGATGTCAATGAGAGTTTCGATACTTGGTTCAGGTGTTACGGAGATAACATTAAAGTGGATTTTGCTGATTCCTGGAAGGCACGTCTCCTACTTCCAAAGCTTGGTTTACCTGCAAAAAGACTTCACTGCAGAACCCACGTGATCATACTTTCGGTGCCACAGTCCAGATACTGAATGACATGTCAGAGGAATGTCAACGACTGGGTAACCTGCAGCGTGATACGAGTTTAGCCCAGTCCAGATGCCAGGGTGGTTCTGAAGTACATACAGTTCGCTAGATGTCTCATTCCTTTGCATTACCTTCTGACTACACAAGCCCTGGGCCTTATCTCACCTGTTCATCGGCCCAGTAACTCATGCAGTACCAACAGACCCTTGAAGAAGACACTCCCATCGCCTGCTGGCATTCCGGTGCCAGGCATTTCGTCAAAGCTTGTTCACTTAAACACAATCGATGCTGCGACTGTAATTTTGTTGGCCATAAGGACAGTTACCGCCACCAACACACAACGACGCGTATAAACGTTATCCTCGAGATACCACTACAGATCTCATTCTAGAACGGTAGGTAAATCTCTTGGCTCGATAGCTGACTTTTATGCTCATGTATCAACCGACCGGAAGATTGAGAAGGCTACTGATTCTTCCATAAACAATGAGATACTCCCTCTGAGCCAGTCAGATAGATGCAATAAAAAGACAGTGTGGTCCAGTCTGACCCCAAATAACACTCTTTCGAAGAGGGGAGTGATATGGGGATAAAGAGAAATGACTGGTTTGGAGGGTAACAGATTGACGGTAGATCGAACGATCAGTATTATTATTTTGAACAGGAAACTATCTATATATACTAGATGTATTTTCTTTTGATTTTAATCATCGATCTTTTGACCCCAAATACACACGTCCCTCGCGTCTTCTTCATTAATTAGTCCGGCTGCGAGTCAACTAGTTATTTCTTGAATGTTTGTGGTTGACACTCGATATTCGTGCATCTTTAGCAGACCATCGGCTAGACCGAGGAGAAGATCCTAGAAGATTTGGATTTCGCCGATGACTTGTGTTGTGTCTAATGTCACACAAACTCGAAGATCTACAGGCAAAAACTAACTAGTTGACAGAAGAGGCGTGGCAGCGAAGACGGGACTTCAAGTGAACGTAGAGAAGACAGAGGTGATGGTGATACAAAACTAACGCCACCAACACCACCACCACCACCAACAACAACAAGCTCCCATCACCATCAGCAGGAGAAACTTAAAGGAAATAGCCTCTTTCACCTACCCACCTAGGTAGCATCCTCTCAACTACAGGCGCCACAGGCACACACGAGGACGTCAAAGCCAACCAGGATCGGAAAAACAGCAAGACTGCCATTCATTAACCTGAAACCAGTGTGGAGATCTTCTACACTCACCACAAAGTGTGAACAACATCCGGATTTTCAACACCAATACAGTCAAGTCAATCAGTGCTTCTATGTGATGGTTCAGAGATCTGGCGCGACACGAAAAGCATTTCCAACAAACTACAGATATTCATCAACAACTGCATACGCTGACTCGTTACTGAAGCTCAGATGACCAGAATAATTAGAATAAGCAACAAGGAACTCTGACTGGCTAGCTGGCTGGTGACGAACCAACGATGCAAGAACCTATCGCTCAACAAATATGTAGAGGAAGGAAGTGGAGTTGGATTGGGCATGCACTGAGAAGACCATTCGAGGACATCACGTGATAGGTCAGGCACTCGAGTGGAACCCAGATGGGAAATGGCGAGTTGGGTGTCCGAGGAGAGGGTGACATGGTGGAGTTCGTGTGAGGAAGAAATGAGAGCTTGTGGGTAGTGGTGTAGCGAGGTTGAAAAGATTGCAGAGAATAGAGTGGAATAGAGACGTACTAGTGAAGCCGTATGTCCCACTAGGGAGAAATAATAAATAACATAATAATAATAATAATAATAATAATAATAATAATAATAATAACAATACACGTCCATCGTGTCTTCTTCAATTAGTCGAGTCATGAGTCAACTAGGAATTTGTTGAATGTTTGTGGCTGACACTCGATATTTGTGCATCTTTAGCGGCCATAGCATTTTTCGAAAGCATAACCGGTGTCTTTTGTTAACATGTAACTAGGGATTCTAATTAAAACATTCTTATTGTAATGTTGGTTAACTGTCTCATAGTGTGAATCATGTGTTAACATGGACACAAACAGCCTCAATCTACCTGAATAAAGCAGGGTAGACTTAATTTAATAATACCCTTGAAGGTGTTGAATAGGATCCAGTATTCAGACAAATGAAAATATTACTATACATGATAAGCACTATAAACTGTCAATATCACTAACAGCAAAACTTACATAAATCACCATAAGATTTATTCGGTTTTTCAATTTGACACTCAATAATAAGGATAGGGTCTAAATAACTGTCATCTTGAATTTTATTCGAAGAATAAGCAAGAAGTGATATCTAAACAATGAAGAAAAAAAACCAGTACAAAAAAAAAACTTTAAGAAACAATTTTTTTGACAATTTATTTACTACTGATACTACTACTACTACTACTAATAATAATAATAATAATACTAAACACATGAACACACAAACCGTACAACTGAAATGAAGAAGAAAAAAATCAATAGGATTTACGCAAGATAGTAGTAATATAATACCTAATTAATACTGACAATTTGATTGATTATTTCATAACGAAACGAAAAATTATTGTTGACATGAGGAAGAAGAGTAGTTCTTGTTCATGATTATTGTGTTAACTTTTATCTATAATCTATTATAAAATGGTTATTATATGAAAGTTAGTTAATAAAATAATTTATAGAGTAAAAATCATTAAGGCAGCCACTTGTTTCAATTTAATATATCCTGCTTACATGTACAAACACTGAGTTGTTTACACAAAGGTGTACAATCCTTAATATACTTAAATAATAAAAAGAAGGTAACTTTATGAATTACCTATAATTCACATTATATAATAATTGAAACGAAATATTAAGAAAAAGTGGAGATGAAGAAGGCTGATTGGGGATATCACGCATCAGGCTAGGCACTCAAGTGAAACCCCGACGGGAAGCAACGAGTTTGGCTTCCGAGGTGAAGGTGATATGGAGGAGATCGTGTGAGGAAGAAATGAGAGCTTGTGGGCTGTCGTGGAGCCAGGTTGAAAAGATTTTAGAGAACAGAGCGCATTGGAGACGTGCTACTGAAGTCTAATGTTCCATTAGGAACCCAAAGGATAAATAATAATTAAGAAAAAGTAGAAATAACTTCATATTTCCCAAACAAATGAAGTTGTAGAAGGGAATTAAACATTCCTAGAGATATCTGTCATATTACAGTTGGACATTTTCAATTTTAGTGTAGAAATTCACTTAGTACTGTAGAAGAGTATTTTCTACACTTAGACTAACAGAGTATGTACATAGTTAGATAGATTTTCCTTTTGTTGATTACTTCGGGTCTTTGGTTGGTAACGCATAAGTAACAGTGACAATGAGATAGGACCAGAGGGGTATCTGGTCAGAGGATGAGGAACAAGATTTCTGGTAAGACGTTATTCAGTGTTATTCACAGATCTTGTTCCAAGTGGTTAAGCAACCTCATTCTGATATCAGCTGACTAAGGTGACTGTAAGTTGCCAATGAGTAATTAAGATATAAATTGATCATCCATAATGAATTTCAGTGGAAATCTTTCCCATTCTTCTGCAGAGTTCTTGCTCACATTTATAAACATATTCCGAAGAATTTTAATCTTAAGGGTTCATAGGGTTTAAACAGTGCATTCGCCTGGCATTTGCTTGATACTAGACATAAAGTCAACGTATTGCAGTCATTCAAAGTGATCAACAAACAACAGAAATCCACTCCTTTGTGATTTTCTGAGGTAGTTCCAATTAAAAGACTAAAACCTCATTTCTATATTCAGAAAAATACTCTTATCAATCTAACTATACCTTTATTACCACTGGTAGTGGGATTATTAATAACATCTGTATTACTACTACTACTACCACTGCTAATATTTTTCTTTCGATTTCTTCTGAATTTATCTATAAATTTTGGTGGGTAATTATTGAGATGTAGGGTATTCTTGGTGTGTCTAATTTCTTGTTGTAGATTTTCCGATCTACTAGTAAGCTTTTTCGCTCTATCACTTCAGCATTTAACTAGGCCTACTCTTAACTGAAATGGGGTGGGAGGATTCGAAGTCTAAGTAGCGATTCGAATGGGTAGGTTTCCTATAGACACTAGTTTCTAGATTTCGTTTTGTGTTCGTTTAATCTTGCAATCCAACATTGCTAGCTCACCTTCTTCACTTTCTAAGTCACAGGTAAATTGGATTGCATTTACTACTGAATTTATATGTGCCAAGAACCTATTGATGTGTTCCGATTTCAGTACTCCTAGTATGATTTCCTCGATCGGTAGCTTAGTTCGCTTCGTAAGTTTTTTGTCATCTGTTAGCCCATTTCGAACCGCCTCCAGAGCCATGTCAATCGGTATGTTTGTGTAAAGGCTAGTTATATCAAAACCAACCATTTTTTTCACTGTTGTCTAAGTGTATGTCATCTAACCTATGCTTTAAGTCATAAGAGTTGGTAAGTCGAGACTTTGAGTGATTTCTTATTGGACCTAACACCATTGCTAAATATTTAGACAACTCGTAAGTCGGAGTGTTTCTAAAATCTACTATAGGCCTGATGGAATAACCTAGCTTATGAATCTTAATAGTACCATACATTCTACTGGGATTATTAGTTTTCAGCATTAAATTAAACCACTTTGACTCACCTAGAAATGGCTTCATCCGGCGTATCAGATCCCCTGTCGACTTCTTGACCTTATTCATAATAGTATCCACTAACTTCTTAATTTCCTTATATGGTCCTGTTTCTATATGCTCGTTCACCTTCCAGATGTAGTCAGATTTACTCATCACAACTATTGAGTTGCCTTTATCCGATTTGGCAATTACTATATTGTTATCATTTTGAAGGTTCCTGAGAGCTTCCCTCTCTGACTTGGGTAAATTAGATTTCACACTGTGCTCTAACTATACCTTGGTAATTGTGATCTCCTAAACTTATACCTACAAAATTCCCCGACATCATTACCCCCTGTTTGTTTCATTTTATCTTTCAATATATTTCAAAACCTACTCTACTCTCACCTCTTGACTTGTATTCATCTCATTACGCTTAATTAACCATTAGGTTACTTTTACCAATTCTAGAATAACATTATGGACAACCGTCTCAAATTTTTTTCATTTTCGTCTCTACATTGTTCATTCTATCAATGTGTGAATAATTAATCTTTGAGTGCAGTCTTAATGACTTCATCGACGTCAGTCAACCTAAGTCTTTATTACGTCGCATATCTTTCAATGAGAATAATTCTTGTCGATTTATTAAAATAGATTGCATAGGATGTTTATTTGTTTGTTTTTGTATCATAAACAACATTATATCCTATATTTATCTTAGTAACTGGCAGTGGAATCCAGGATGTGGGTATCGTCTTATTTGGGACTTGTCAACTAGATGTAACTGCACCCCAGTGAGTCATGTTATTCCCCACTGTGATATCAATCCAGTGCCTATCGCTTCAAACGTTAAAGCGTTATCTACTAGGTCACTGGGGCAAGATAGCCACCTCAAGTATCAAACAGTAACTGATACCTATGGCGTAGTATGTAGTGCTTTAACATTTGAATCTATAAGCATTGCGTTTGAATCGCATTGACTTTCATATACTAACCAACTGTCAGTACATCAGTTAGGATATTTCAACTAAAGGATTTAAAAAATCCAACGAGTTTGAAAACAATTTCTATCAGAAACTGATGTCAGCTAAAGGACCATAAGATAACCGTCAATGAAATGCCTACTAGGAATTGTGCTTACAATCACTAAGCCTCATCACAACGACACTACTGGTAAAACGAAGTTCAATGATCAATATTCATTTTTTCTTATATCGCTTAGCATGCAGCAAGATAACCTTTCGATGTCAGAGAGTATATACACACCACTAGTCAGCTAACTTCTATGTATGTATCCACTTTCAATGGTAATAATGGTTTGTAATGAAAGATGATATGGAAGACCTTTTCTTTAAGATCATGATAAAATAAGATAAACTTAGCAAATGAAACTAACTGAATTCCTATGAAAGGGAAATAAAGCAAAAAGAAAGACAACATTATTTTGTATTAAAAGTAATAACGAAATCACTTACGTCAGTAGGCTTACAGTCATCTGATAGAAGTGAACGATCAGTGATAAGGGTGGCTCTCGCACACCACCTATATTGAAAATAAGACAATAGTTTGGAATGAGACTAGTAAATAAGAAAGTGGATATAGAGTATAAGAGTAAAACTTTCGTGGACACTAAAATTGAATGCAACTTCACTTAAGTCAGTTAATTAGAATTGTTATACAGTAGGAGAGTATAATTTACTGGATCACGTTTCGGACACAATTTATTTGTTCATAGTCATACCAAGATAATTACACACCTTTGAGACAGTTTGGTTTATATAGCTCTAATTTTATCACATCGTTTGTGATCTCGGTAGTAGAATTATCCATATATCTGGAACGGTTACGAAGTCATTCCTGTCCCACATACTACGTGTTGATTCGATAAACAAAGATTCGGTTATCAATCTCTTCCTCCATCCCACTAAGACAGTTTTAAGGATTTCACTCTGTCCCACTCTAGTGTATGTGTGTGCAATTACATGCTTAGCAATGGCCGAAATCTTCTCTAAATCCCTTATCTTACTAGGACCGACCAATTTTGATCCAGTTAGGTTTTCTTTACTCGGACAGCCTAATTGATCCCGATCAACTACTTTGGCCTATGTATTTGGCATCATAATCAGTGCAAGGGATTTATTATATACTATTTGTCCCTTGGGTTCCTAGTGGAACATACGGCTTCACTAGTATGTCTCTATTCCACTCTATTCTCTGCAATCTTTTCAACCTCGCTACACCACTGCCCACAAGCTCTCATTTCTTCCTCACACGATCTCCTCTATGTCACCCTCTCCCCGGACGCCCAACTCGCCGTTTCCCATCTGCGTCCCACTCGAGTGCCTGACCTGTCACGTGATGTCCTCGAATGATCTTCTCAGTGCATGCCCAATCCAACTCCATTTCCTTCCTCTACATATTTGTTGAGCGATAGGTTCTTGCATCGTTGGTTCGTCACCAGCCAGCCAGCCAGCTAGCCAGTCAGAGTTCCTTGTTGCTTATTCTAATTATTCTGGTCATCTGAGCTACAGTAACGAGCCAGCGTATGCAGTTGTTGATGAATATCTGTAGCTTGTTGGAAATGCTTTTCGTGACGCGCCAGATCTCTGAACCATCACATAGAAGCACTGATTGACTTGACTGTATTGGTGTTGAAAATCTGGATGTTGTTCACACTTTGTGGTGAGTGTAGAAGATCTCCACACTGGTTTCAGGTTAATGAATGGCAGTCTTGCTGTGTTCCCGATCCTGGTTGGCTTTGACGTCCTCGTGTGTGCCTGTGGCGCCTGTAGTTGAGAGGATGCTGCCTAGGTGGGTAGGTGAAAGAGGTTACTTCCTTTAAGTTTCGCCCGTTGATGGTGATGGGAGCTTGTTGTTGTTGTTGGTGGTGGCGTTAGTTTTGTATCACCATCACCTCTGTCTTCTCTCCGTTCACTTGAAGTCCCGTCTTCGCTGCCACGCCTCTTCTGTCAACTAGTTAGTTTTTGCCTGTAGAACTTCGAGTTTGTGTGACATTAGACACAACACAAGTCATCGGCGAAATCCAAATCTTCTAGGATCTTTCTCCCGGTTCAGCGTATCCCTCTCTTTTCGCTCCTCACTGTTTGCTGCATGATCCAGTCCACTACAATCAGGAAGATGATTGGCAATAGTAGACAGCATTGTTTTACCCCTGTCTTCACTTCAAATGCATCACTCAGCTTCCCACTGTGAATTACTTGGCATGTGGCGTCTTCATTTAGTTGTTGAATGAGGTTGATAAAGGTTTGTGGTATTCCGTAGTGTTGAAGCCGTTGTTAATTACTTTGCAAGGGATTTAGTAAACTAAATTATTCTGCTTAATTGGATCAATAGGATCTTTTGACCTACAAAGCGTAGGTCAAAGTGAGTTTGTAGGTGGAAATGTCACTCTAATCCCAGATTTATTAAGAATTCTACATAATTTCTCTGAGGTGACTTCCTTGTATGGTAACACTGTAATGGTTTCGAACTTTCTCTTCACAGCTTTGTCATTATTATTATTCTTATTATATCACCACTTGTGTTACCAGTATCAGTGATATGTTGCTTACAATTATTGATTAGTTCAGGAGGGTAATTAATGATGAGTAAGAAGTTCTTAATGTATTCAATTTCTTGTATTAAGTCTCTTCTACTAGTCACTTTCTTGGTCTTGTTACTTAAACATTTTACTAGACCAACCTTAACTGACATAGGGTGATGAGGATTTGAAGCCTAAGTAACGACTTGAGTGTGATAGTTTCTTACTGACACCAGCGTCTAAACTTCCGTTTTATTCTGTAATCCAACATCTCAAATTCTCCCCTTCACCATTTTCTAATTCATAGATGAATTGAATTGTGTTGACTACTGAATTTATATGTGTAGATAAACTATCTATGTGTTCGGATTTCAACACTGTAAACGTGTCATCTACATATGGAAACCATATTTTGGGAGTGGGAGTAAATGTTTCAACAGCCATCCGTTCGCAACTATTTGTAAATATGCCTGCCATCATAGGGAATATTGTTGAGGCCACAGCGATTCCTCCACTTTGTTTGTATATATTATTCTGAAGCTTAATGATTTTGGAAGTTAGGCATAGCTGCAGTTGAAACATGATCTCTTCTACTGGTACCTTCGTTGGTAATGTGAGCTGATGGTCATTATTGAGTTCATTTCTAACTGCTTGTAGAACTATGCAAATTGATATTATTATTATTATTAGTCCCTTGGGTTCCTAGTGGAACATAGGGCTTCAGTAGCACGCCTCCAGTGACCTCTGTTCTCTGAGATCTTTTGAACCTGGTCCCACGACAGCCCACAACCTCTCATTTCCTCCTCGCATGACCTCCTCCATGTCACCCTCGGCACCGACGTCCAACTCGTCGCTTCCCATGGGGATTCCACTCGAGTGACTGCCTGACGCGTGATGTCCTCAGTCGGCCTTCTCAGTGCATGGCCAATCCATCTCCACTTCTTCCTGCATATTTGTTGCGTGATAGGTTCTTGGTTGGTTCGTTGCCAGAGTTCCTTGTTGCTTATTCTTTCTGGCCATCTGATCTTCAGTAGCGAGCCAGCGTAAGCAGTTGTTGATGAATGTCTGTAGTTTATTGGAAATGCCTTTCGTGACGCGCCAAGTCTCTGAGCCATACAAGAGCACTGACTTGACGTTGGTGTTGAAAATCCGTATCTTGTTCCGCATGCTGAGTGCAGAAGATCTCCACACTGGTTTCAGGCTAATGAACGCCTGTCTTGCTTTTCCGATTCTGACTTTGACGTCCTCGTCCGTCCCGCCTGTAGTTGAAACAGTGCTTCCTAGATAAGTGAAGGAGGTTACTTCCTTCAAGTTTCTCCCGTTGACGGTGATTGGAGTTTGTTGTTGTTGGTAGTGGTGGTGGTGTGTTGGGTATCTTCATCACTTCTGTCTTCTCTATATTCACCTGAAGTCCCGTCTTCGCTGCCTCTTCTGTCAACTTGTTAGTTTTTGCCTCCAGATCTTCAAGTTTATGTGACATTAGGCACAAGTCATCGACGAAATCCAAGTCTTCTAGGTTCTTTTCCGCAGTCCAGCGTATCCCCCTCTTCTCGCTGCCTACTGTTTGCTGCATGATCCAGTCCACCTCAATAAGGAATATCATGGGGGATAGTAGGCAACCTTGTTTCACTCCTGTCTTCACTTCAAAGGCATCACTGAGCTTCCCATTGTGGATTACTTGGCATGTGGCTTCCTCATATAGTTGTTGAATGAGGCGGATAAAGGTTTGCGGTACTCCGTAGTATTGAAGCAGTTTCCAAATTACTTCTCGGTCGACGCTGTCAAAGGCCTTCTCAAAGTCGATGAAGTTGAGGTAGAGAGCTGATTGCCATTCTATGCTCTGTTCTATGATGATACGAAGCGTTGCAATTTGGTCTGCACATGATTTGTACTTCCTGAAGCCTGCCTGTTCCGGTCGCAGTTTTGAATCCAGTGCACCCTTTAGCTTCTCCAGGATGATGCGGCTTAATATTTTGCTTGTTGGGTGGACAGGAGAGTGATTCCTCTCCAGTTCTTGCAAGCACTGAGGTCTCCTTTCTTCGGCAGTTTGACAAGGTAACCCTTCTTCCAATCGTCAGGTACCTTCTCTTCCTTCCACACTTTCTGCAATAGTGGTGTGAGCATGTCCGCTGTTGTCTCTGTGTCTGTTTTCAGTGCTTCTGGCAGGATTCCATCTGGTCCTGCTGCTTTCCCGCATTTCAGTAGCTTTATGGCCTTCAGGACTTCCATTTTCGTTGGAGGATTTATGTTCACTTGTAATTCAGCGGCTGCAGGTGGTATTTCTGGACGAAGTGCAGGTGGTGGTCGATTCAAGAGCTTCTTGAAGTGGTCGGCCCATCGTTTCCTCTGTTTCTCTTCTTTTGTAATTAAATTTCCTTCTTCGTCTTTTATTGGTTTCATCTGTGTTAGTCTCTTCCCTGATAGCAACCTGGTTATTTGATACAATGTCGTCAGGTCTCTCTTACCTGCAGCCTGTCCTGCTTCACTTACCAGCGTTTCGTAGAAGTGTCTTTTGTCTTTCCGTGCACTCTTCTTCACTTCTTTGTCCAGTGTTTTATACATTGTGCTCAGTTCCTCTTGTCGTTGAGCATCCTTGCACAGGTTTATCTTCTGCTTCACCATCCTCCTCTCCTCTATCAGCTTCCAGGTGTCCGTCGAGATCCATTCCTTATCTTCTTTCTTCTTCCTTCCTAATACTGTTGTGCAGGTTTCTTTCCACATAGCTTTCAAAGAGTTCCAGTGTTATTCCACACAGGTTTCTTCAGGGATGTTGCTCGATGTCTCCCATTTTGTCTTCATGGCTGCCTTGAAGATCTCCTTTGTAGTTTCATCCTTCAGTTTCCGAGTGTTTTACTTGAATTGAGGTCTATCACCAGCTTCCTTGAAGGCTTTTAACTTGATTTGGAAGGTTCCTTGCACTAGATAGTGGTCTGAACCTACATCTGCTCCTCTTCTTCACCTTGTGTTAACTAGACTGCGTCTCCATTTTCTTGAGATTGAGATAAAGTCGATTTGATTTTTAGTGTGTCCATCTGGTGAAATCCATGTCGCTTTGTGGATATCTTTGTGCCTGAACACACTGCCTCCAATCACCAAATCGTTGAATGCGCAGAATTCTGCAAACAATTCTCCATTCTCATTCATTTCACCTAGCGCCTCTCGACCCATGGTTAGTTCTCTTCCTGTGTTGTCCCCTCCAAGTTTGGCATTCATGTCGCCCATTAGAATTTTGATATTGCCAACTGACGTCTTGTCCAGTGTTGATTGAAGTTGTCTGTAGAATTCCTCCTTTTTCTCTTCATCTGCATTATTTGTAGGTGCATAACATTGTATGATTGTGACCTTTCTTCCTTTTGAGTTGAATCTTACTGTCATGATCCTGGTGGAGGAGATTGGTTCCCACTGCATGAGAGCCTTCGATGCTGTTGTGGACATCATGATAGCCACTCCATAACTCAGTGTGCTCGTGGTTGTCGTCTGGGTGACCGGAGTAGATTATTGATTCTCCAGTTGACAGTTTGGAGAGTCCACTCCCATTCCATCTGCTTTCGCAAATCCCAAGCACTTCGATGTTATAACTTCTCATCTCCTTTGCAATCTGGGCTGCCTTACTGGGTTCAAACATCGTGCGGATATTCCATGTCCCCACGTTTACTTTCGCTTTCATCGAGAGGAAGGAAGACACATCGGCCAATTGGCTTCCGAAGGCTTTCACCAACTGGCGTCATTTCGCCTCTCCGATTCCAGGGAGGAATAAGTTTGTTTTCATTTTTTATATTTTTTTTGTGCTTTGAAGTTTCTTTAGCGGTTAGATTTGTTTTACGGGGTAGGGTTGCTAGCCCTATGCCCAACCTTCCCTCTTTACCCGGGCTTAGGACCGGCTAGTAACTAGTAAACTAGTTAACCAGGCGAGGTTATGCAAATTGATATATTTGTATATAAATTAACCGGATTAAAACTAACCATTTTCATCTAAATGAATAGCATGTAATCTATGCTTCAAGTCATAAGAGTTACTAGGTCTCGATTTAGAACGGTTTTTTAAGTGTACCATGGGTCGAATCAATAGGAGTAACTGGACACCTGTACCAGATACATGAAAAATCCTACTATCTATATCACAAAGAATGAGAGAGAATTTGAGCTACAAAAAGTATGTATCAAAAGTGTATCCGAAAGGTAATCCCATTATATATGGATACATCTAACAAAGCAACTTAAATGAAAGCAGAAACAGTGTAGTAAAACAAAGAAAATTACTGAGTTGATACTAAGTGATGATGGAAGGTGAAATGGGAATTTGGATCGCGGCCGGATTCGAACCAGTGACCACCGGGTTAGATTTAGATTGCAATCAGAAGTCCTGACTAAGCAACCAGTGTGAATACAATCAAGCGTTAGTAACACACCACGAATTCACATTGAAACCGAAACCCAGTGGTCGCTGGTTCGAATCCGGCCACAATCCGAATTTTCACTTTGCCTTCTTCAAACATTACTCAGTATCAATTATTCGGTTGTTTAACTCGTAAAAAAGAAATTACTACTGAATATGAAGAGGGATCTCCAAAAATAACAGCGAGTCGTTAGTCGTTCACTAATATTCAAACAGAGAACAAATTTTCAACGCAAAACATATCAAGGTGTAGGAACAATAAATATGGTGTTCTAAAAAGAAAACAATTAAAGTGTAAACAAATCATTTCATTCCATTATTATGTTGCTGAAATAGTAGGGATATATATTTTCTGCCTTGATGATTGATTTAGGCAGCTGACTTTCAACTATTAGGTCACGGTTTCGCATTCCACTCCACCTACCGAACTTTGACCTGACAGGTAGTATCATTAACCTTTAAACAATACATGTGGTCTATTGTCTACTGCACGAGCGTAGTTCACGATTTCGATCGATTCCTCACCAATGCTTTTCTGTAAGTTCGTTTTTTTTCCAATGAGATCCATCTTTTTGTAGCATTGCAAAATGTGCAGTGATTGCATCATATTAGTGTAGCTTATAGAAATGTGAAGGTATTGACTGTGATATTGTGTTTTTTGTGTTCCGAGACTTAATGTTGAACTTTCTCACTAACAAGCTGGGTGATATCATTAGTACCAAGTCCATTAAGTTAGTGTGCCAAATCAATATGATGTGACTGACCGGTAGTGATAAATATGTGAAACGATAATAACGCGATGCGATACTTGGACTGGACACGAATAGCGAGTGTTCTCTCTCAGATCTGATACTCCACTAAACCGCGATAATCAGAAAACAAAGATCAGCCTGTGACTATTAGAAAGACAACCTTATTCGACAAAACACTCATCATTTATATACACTTTTTCCTCAGAAAATAAAGTCACTAGGTCACAAGTTGGGTACTTAATTTCATTGGTCAGCAAAAGGACAAACTTGTTGAATAAGGTTTTCCCGCCTACACGAAATCAAGGTTGAAATCCAAAATGGCTACCTTGCCAGTAGATGACCTTGAATGTTGATTTCAACTAAGGTTGCTTATTATCAAAATGCCATCGCTATACTGAGTTACAAGTTTTCTCTATTAACTGTGAAAGCATTCTTCTAGTCATTTCCCTCGGTACAGCATTCAACCAATTTATTATCCATTACTTAAAAGTCATCTCTAAAAAGTGATAACCTTTCATTAGGAATGACATACATTTAATCTCTATAAACGATCAGAACATAAATTCAAAAATTCTGAAACAATGCAGAGTTTAACAGTAAAACCAGATCAGACTAGACTATTATGAGTAGGATATATACATGCACTTTTTTATTCCTCAACGTTTTGTTGGATACTTTTGATACACCATATGTAGAGGTACAGGATGCAGAACGAAGACAGCCTATTCCTACCAAAAGGTCAGTTAGACAAAGCCCTTCCAGACGGATAGATAAAAGAAATTATACACCCTTTACGGGGGAGGGGATAAGAAGCGACCTAAATCGAAATCAGTATTTTAAGTTATCAGTCCCCAAGGTAGAAGCTTTCGACTTCAACCTTCGTTTCATGTTACTGGTTTGGTGGAAAACCCTTATTAAATAAATTTGTCCTTCAGCTGATCAGTGAAAGTAAGTATCCAACTTGTAACCTAGTGGTTTTCTTTTCTGAGGGAAAACTGCATATAAATGATGAGTGTTTTGTCAGTTGAGGTTCTTCCTTATAGTCACAGATCGGTTTTTCTTTTCTGATTTTCGCGGCTCAGTGAGGTATCAGATCTGAGAGAGAACACTCGTTATTCGTACCACGTCCAAGTGTCATACTGCGTAAGTAGCGTTTCTCGTATTTCATAGTATTCTGTCAGGCACTTTTCTCTGGGTCACTTCAAACACTGAAGGCAAATCCATTTTAAATTCAGTTATTCATGTATCTTATTGCAAGTGCGTAGCGGAAGCTAACGACAAGAAATGTCGTGGTTTCATAAATCGGATCGAGCTCTTAAACAACAAACTAAAGCTGGATAACATCACAAACCATGAAATTTGAAAGATGCTGGAGACGATACTGAAAACAAAACAAGAACTTAGAGTTTATACACTATGTTCCATGATCTTCATTTGTGTCTAAGAACAGGTAAAATTACTTGTTGTAAGGGTATTTATTATTTTCCCTTGCTATACAGGGTCGAATTGCTCGACCTTCACTGTTGACAGATCAACTCCTATGCAGATGCCTCGATACTGCCGGATATTCATGGTGTTATATTGATCTTAGTGACTAGCAGAGAAATCCAGGACGCGTGTTTTGTCGTATTTAGGACTCCTCAGCTGTTATTATTACAAAGAAGAAGCATGAAAACAATTTCATCTAAGTAGAGTCAATTGAAATTAGGAAAAAGATATGTGTATTGTAAATGAAAGAAAGACTTACTGTGTAATATGACTACTAATCCAAGAGAATGGTACACATTCAGGTGAAAGTACAACACATTTAGTTCGTACTTGTTTACCGTTGGATAAATGAACAATAATATCATCATTGGTATTTATCACTGGTACAGATTGTGATAACGACGATAAACTACTTTCTGACGCCACTGTCGTTGTTGCTTCACTCACTGATACAGATTCAATTTTTTTCACTGTACACTCCAGACAAAATATTGCACCAAAAACAGCTGACATTCTGAGAATTAGAAACAAAATGATAGAGGTAAGCAAACAAAAAAATATTTTGTGGAGAAAATTTCACTGATTTTTGTTAACATACTAGTGTCATCTAAACTTGTTATAGAGTAGTTAGTAGTTAAACATCATTTAAGGACCAATAATAATACCTAAAGGGCTTCAAAAACAAACAGAGTGTGAAACTTTGATAAGCTTAAATGGGGGACGATACTTCCCATCTACAGCGAAACATATTATAGAAACGGGTAATAAAATTATTGTTGAAACTGCTTACACACTTTTATATAGAAACAGCCCAGGATGCAAACTGAGCACTTTGTGCAGCCTATATAACTAGCTCCACTTGAGCAAGTAAATTTGTAGACATATACTGAGGTGGCTCAAAGTTCTTCTCAATAAATTTGGATGGATATCCATTTTCCATGAGAATCTTCCTTAGTTTATCTGATTCATCGTCGATAGTATCACTTTTGCAGATTCTTCTGATTCTCGAAGATAAATATAGATCAGATTCCTTTTTCTGTTAAGATGCTATGAAAATCCAAGTATTTCCTACTCCATGTGGGCTTCCTATAAATTGATTTGTGAAGAGAACCATATGGTCTTCGTTTCAATAAGACATCGAGAAAATGGAACTCTGTTTTCAAAGACGATACGACAGCAGACATCCTAAAGAATCAACTGTCCAGATCGTTGAAGAAGACATTCTTCTCTGCGAAGCTATAGATCAGCTTTTCTAATCAGCAACTGGTTCCGGAGTGCGCTAAGGACAAGTTGCCGCTTTGAGCCACCTTAGTAAGTGTCTGAAAATTTACATGCTCCTTTGGAGCTGGGTAGCACAAAGCGCACACTTTCCAAACGTATCTCTCAGCACTATCCAGCACGGTTGTTGAGGGGAGAATGTAAATCAATTAACAGTTCAATTCTTCAACACTTAGTCAACTCTGAACATATAGCTCCACCAGAGTCCTCCTTCGCTGTCATTTATGAAGTCAAATGGAATGGTAAAAAAGGAGTACGCCATCGACAGTTGCGCACAGCGGAAGCACTGGCAATTCATGAATTCAAACCTGATCTCTACGTGCAAAAGAAGTATGTTCAATCTCTTATCTTACCATGGTCTTAACACTTTCACATTTTCCAATTCCATTATAATTACTTAATTTATTATTATCACCTTCATTATGACACATGTCTCATTCTTCACCTCCTTTACATCATCTATCACGTGGACACACACTATTCGCGTTTCTCATCTACCAACAATTTTCACCTAGTCAAACTCCTTGCCTTCCTCGTTATTTCTACTATCTAAAAAATTATTACGTAACTACATTCCATTCTAAATTTTGGTATTTAAGTACTAGCTGGTTTAATGATGCAATTATACACCACTATTGTTTAATAATAGACTGTCATATGTTTGTGATATAAATAAATACGATTGTACAGCCTTAGAAAATGACATCGTCGAAAAGTGAAATTTTCTTCACAGAATTATTTTTTCATTTGTCTATAACTTGTAACAAGGTGCGAGAGTATATATTATCAAATGGATGTAGCTTCCCCGTAGTGGTTTATTCTCCATCCATCCATCCAAGTCAACATAAGACCAGGGATTACTGCGTAACCCTCCGAGTTGATACACCTCATACCAGTGCATAAAGTAAAAACACAGTGAAGTGGAAGATGAAGAAAAGAAAATTAAGTCGATAGAAATATAAAGTGCTAACTGAGAGAAAGGAAGAATGAGAAAGTGGTGAGATTCGGTGTAGAGTCGTTAAGATGAGGATACTGTGTGAGGGAATACATCTACAACACTAACATCGGTTCTCAGTCATGTCATCACCTACAGTCAGTCTCCAACCACTGATTTCTCTTGTCCCACCAACCCCAACCACCTAGTCTGCATCACCCCACATGGCTTAAACCAACAGTCAAACACTTACATTGATACATTGATTCCATGTTTCAGTCTGGCCACATCGACCCCTTTTCCAGTCTGAACCCACTTCGGTCAACATTGTGTGACGAGACAATCGGTGACTGGGCATACGTAGTACGTGTCCCAGCCAGGTATCTCATTCGATGAAGGTTCACAACCTGGTCAACTGATTTGCCTCTTCTCCCTAAAACTCTGTACCTGACGTCGGCGTTACTCACTTGGTGACACCAGGGAATACGGCTTATACTATGAAGGCAACGAGGTGGTTTACTATCAGAGTTATGCCACATATTCTCACAACTTCGACAGGCAGATAGTATACAGCAATAATCCTTATGAAAAACAAGCGTGGTGTATTATCCTAGTATATAACGACTGATTTGCACCTTACTTGCATCTCACAGAGACTATTAGGAGAATGAATAGTAGAAATGTTTCGGAATAACTAATAACAGATCACAGTTTGGCTCGTCAAGCAATTTTAGCCGAAGTAGGTGAAGGCTAGAAAATGGCTGGGTGGAGCTAGAATAAAACATGGTATCACTGCATAAAGTCTCTGACTGTTGGTCTGAACACTCCAGGGAGATGTAGACTAGTTGGTTAGGGTCCGGTGGTTGGAGATTGACTTTAGGTGATATGGCTCAGAATCAATGTCAGTGGCGCATACGTATCTTCATATTAACCGCTATATTTAATCTCATCATCTTTTTATTTCCCCTTCCTCTCTTTTACTACTTTCGACAAATTCTTCTTTATTCTTTCATCTCTCATCTTAATGATTTGTGACCTTATGTGGGGACCGTTATGCAGTAATGCCTGGTCCTAAGTTGACATTTATGATGATGATGACCTAAAAACAGTTTGCCCGGTAAAAACTCTTACGGAGTTAAAAGCGGTACTGACTAGTAACTATTGACTGAGTTCGGTGCAACTATTGGGGTAAATGTAGCGATCGATGAGTGCAAAGCTATCACCAACTTTAGAACTAGACATTGGATAGTATTGTAATTACTAGTCATCGTCTTCGATGAGTAATGTTATTCGAAGTTTGGATGAAAGCTGATGATGACTTAACGGAAATGTAAAACCAACCAATAAAATTCCAAACGATTTATTCACTCGATTTGTGTAGACTAGCCAACTGGAATGGCTTAGAAGATGAGAACTACTGATCAATGACTATGAATGAAATGATTCAAAATCGGTCACCACAACCCAGATACATGCTTCAATATAGTACCAAGATGTTTCAATCGACACCTATAAAGGTGAAGATTTAGAGTTCAGAACTAAAACTAGAAGAGTATAATTTTTTAAGCTCATACAAACCAACTTTAAGACAAAGGTGATGAAGATACTAAACCAACAACAACAAGCACCACCAACGGAAGAAACCTAAAGGAAGTTCCCTGGTCCACCTACCTTCATAGGCAGCACCATCCTCTCAACTAAAGGCCACATAAACACAGGCACACATGACGATGTCAAAACAGACAGCATCGGAAACACAGAAACACAGGCCTTCCTGCATCAATCTAAACTCAGTGTGGAGATCTACTACACTCAGCATAAAGCATCAACAACATCCGGATTCTCAACACCAATCCAATCAAGTCAGTCAGTGCTTCTATGTGATGGTTCACAAACTTGGCGCGTCACGAAAATCACACCCAACAAACTACACACATTCATTAACACCTGCAACCTACGCTCACTCGATAGATACTGACACTGAAGATAAGATGGATGGCCAGAAAGAATAAGCAACAACGAACTCTGGCTGGCTGGCTGGTGACGAACCAACCAACAACTAACTCATCGCCCAATAAATATGCAGAAGAAAGTGGACATCGATTGGGCTGGGCATGCACTGAGAAAGACATTCGGAGACATCACGCTCCAGGCTAGGCACTCGAGTGGAATCCAATGGGGGAAACGATGAGTTCGGCGTCAGAGGTGAGGGTGACATGGAGGAGATGGTGTGAGGAAGAAATGAAAGATTATGGGCAGTCGTGAAATGAGGTTGAAAAGACTGCAGAGAAGAGAGTGGGATGGAGACGTGCTACAGAAGCTCTATGTTCCACTAGGAACCCAAGGGACAAATAAATAATGATAATAAAATATAAACCAACTTGTTTTAAGTATCAAAAAGTACTTAAAGTAACTTGGGACTATAGCTTATTGGTCTAAGGAGCTGACTTTCAATCAAGAGGTTAGAGGTCCAAACATTGCCTCGTGTCTACCGAGGTGTGGAAAAGTCAGGCAGTCGTGCCACTAACCTTCAAACAATAGGTGTAACTTAATGCCTAGTGTATCAAAGTGCACAAAGTTGCTGGATGCATTACAACATTTCGAAGTATCAAAAATAATTGGATACAAAAAGAAAATGAAAACTAACCGACAATAACCTTGAGTTAGATCTCCACTACCATACATTGGCCACAAAATTGGATATGGTCCAAAACGACCCATGGAAAATAGAAGTCGCCTAATTCTAAAAATAGCCTGTTGATTTCATTAAGTAATACACAAACAAATGGGAACATTTATGTAGATGTCAAGGGATATAATTATTTATTACAACTGTGAATAAATGTCAGCAATTCTAAGGAATAACTCAAAGATTTTTCACTTAAAAAACACACAACAACAACTTGACATTGGAAGAAAAAGTATAATCAACTAAATTTTCTCAATAATCAAGTGTACTAGATAACAGATAGGATACACCTATTGTGTGTATTCGGCTAATGAAACTATTTGGTTGCCTGAACTTCAGTAGATGGAACAAGTTTTCAACTCATAACCTCAACTCCCTTGCTTTAAAGGGTCATTCGCCTACAGGCCAACCTCAGGTGCCGATTAGTGTCAGCATTACTTTTCAAACTTTTTCAGAAGCTAAGAAACACATAAAACATTCTTAATTAAGCATATGAGTAATACTGATAGACTTCGAAAATTTTTTCAATACAATCAAATTGTTTGTGTTCTTTCCTAGTCAGGTCTGTTTATTTAAGAAATCGTTATTGATTTTTATGAAGTGACATAAACAGTCCTCTATTACGAGTGTAGGTGAATTTGCATTCTCTACGAACAAACCAAAATAGTGCGTGTGTTTTATGATAAAAAAAACGCTTTCATGAAGCTGGGCTAAGAATAGAATTTTTTTTGAAGATGAAAATCATCTTACAGTCGTTCGTTTCGAAACGTAGCTATATCTATGATGAAGAATTAACACTGAGTCCCTGGTTCGAGGACCCGTACCCTATCCATTTCAGCCTGGGAAACCGTACAGTATTATAAGCTATCTCTCTACTCGAAAACTTGTGAGTGTGTTGGAGCCCATGGTGAGATATCCGAGGAGCTGTGCTCGTCGAGTCATATCCGTCCAAGAGTGCCCACTGCCTCCATCCTTATTCAATTTTATCATAGATATTCTTATGGAGGTCTCCCCTTCATTACCTGATTACAAAGAGGTTGACCTAATCGGTGGGGAATTTTCGTCAGACCTAGAATATGCAGATGACATTGTCCTGTTAGGTGAAGATGCTGACATGATGCAGAGTCTTCTGAACACTTTGGGTGGCGATTTCGGAATGTCTGGGATGCGTTTCTCACCACCCAAATGCAAACTGTTGCTCCACGATTGGTCTTCAACGGTGCCCCAATGCGGCTAACAATAGAGAGTGTAGTAGGTGAGTGTATTGACCACTTCACTTACCTGAGAAGTAGGATTAGCCCTACCCTGGTGGCTCAGTGACCGATGAAATCTCTGCATGAATACAAACATCTCGGTTAGCGTTTGCCAACTTACGCCACCTGTGGCGCTGCCGTGATATCCGATTGTCTATTAAGGGTTCTGTTGTATGGCTGTGAGACATGGCCATTGAAGGTGGAAGACATGAGAAGGCTTCAGGTGTTTGACCACCGTTATCTTCGTAGTATAAGCCGTATTCCCTGGTGTCACCACGTGAGTAACGCCGACGTCAGGTACAGAGTTTTAGGGAGAAGAGGCAAATCAGTTGACCAGGTTGTGAACCTTCATCGAATGAGATACCTGGCTGGGACACGTACTACGTATGCCCAGTCACCGATTGTCTCGTCACACAATGTTGACCGAAGTGGGTTCAGACTGGAAAAGGGGTCGATGTGGCCAGACTGAAACATGGAATCAATGTATCAATGTAAGTGTTTGACTGTTGGTTTAAGCCATGTGGGGTGATGCAGACTAGGTGGTTGGGGTTGGTGGGACAAGAGAAATCAGTGGTTGGAGACTGACTGTAGGTGATGACATGACTGAGAACCGATGTTAGTGTTGTAGATGTATTCCCTCACACAGTATCCTCATCTTAACGACTCTACACCGAATCTCACCACTTTCTCATTCTTCCTTTCTCTCAGTTAGCACTTTATATTTCTATCGACTTAATTTTCTTTTCTTCATCTTCCACTTCACTGTGTTTTTACTTTATGCACTGGTATGAGGTGTATCAACTCGGAGGGTTACGCAGTAATCCCTGGTCTTATGTTGACTTGGATAGATGGATAAGCTATCACACAATAGGGGAGGCGCATAGCCTAACAAATAAACATATACCGAGTGCGATATCATTCGTTTGTATTTTTATATTGTCATCAAAAAACTTACTACTCAGTTCACAGAGCACGGGGCTGGAAACCTAGTGGTCGCTGGTTCAAATCTGGCTGCGGTTTAAATTTTCATTTCACCTTCAATCATCACCCAGTATAAATACCAGTCTGCCAAATCACAGTTATCTCAGTCAAAATGATACTACATATAAATCAATTGTGTGATATAATTCTTAAGACTAGTGCAGTGTCATGGTGGGAATTTAGAGGTTGAGATAAAACATGATGGGAACATGTATACAGGTCATAGGCAATTACCAGCAATGGGTAAATGTTCTACCAAAAGACAATGTGGGTGTATTAGGAGCAAATAGAGAGAGAAGCAGAAGAGGAAATGAAGCACATTGTGCAAATGACTATCTTAGAGCAAGGTGTACCATATTTAACGACTACCGTACAAGATGTCAATCATAAGCATTCCTTCCTTCGTCTCAATCTTGTCGTTTTCTATAGTACTAAAAGGTACTGGTACTTAACATGTTTAGTAAATAAAAATTATACGGATCAGCACTAACGATTGGACGGCTATATTCGTTGTTATCTGGTGAATGATTTGTACAAACAATTTACGAGGTAATTCATACTATGAGTAACTTTGTAGAAAAAGTCTGTGATTATGACACTGAGTTATACAGTTTCAAATGTGCAAAGGAATATTTGATTCTTTTAGACTAAAGATACACCTTCCTGATCAATATTAACAATCAAGAAACTGGTGTACAACAAGGCTTCTTGCCTATTGACTACCAACAACATCGAACATGAAATACATACGTGTAATACTGACTGAAGTAACGTTTAAAGTCTTGAATTGAACAATCTATTCATGTTAGACCGTTTTCTTAAAAAAACAGGGGAAGTAAATAAAGTAAGCAAACCTTTTTTTATCGATCAACTGATAAGGAGCACTAATATCTGTGATTATACGACGATTTTCTCTCGTGTTGAGCAAATATTTTACTCTAATGACTTTGATATTTTCGTTAAAAATACTGCCCTACGAGACCTGACTGTCATATGAATTCATGACGCGTTACTACCACTTGGTCGTATTTCAACTGGCTGCCCAGTCCGGAGACTTTTTTCATCCCAATCCAAATCTATTTGAATTAGAGAAAAAGGAGCATCATATTGATTATCATTCTGACTATGTAAGTGAAATAGCCGTGGTTTGGAAGACTAGTATCGAATCTAAGTGATGATTGAGGTGAAATAAAAATCTAGTCAACAGTCAGGTCTCATAGCTCAATTGGTAGAGCACCGGGTCAGAAACCCGGCGATCGCTAGTTCGAATCCCTCTGAGGCCCAAAATTCTCATTCGGTCTTCAATCATCACTCAGTATGAATACTAGTCCTCCAAACTACGGCTATCTCACTGATAAAAAAACATGGTAATTTTGATGTACACTGAACCCAGTGGCTTGTAATTTGACTGTTATTGTGAATCCTTTTAGATCCTCAGTGTCAGTGAGTATTACCCTTAGAGGGACAAGACTGTGAAGAAAATATGATTTGGATGCCTTACACCTAAGAGATTAACCTGTCTTATGTATAAACTTTCGCCTAACTGCCAAACTTTCGATTTAGAGGGTTTAAGTAGAGACTATCAGCGATTCACTCTTTCGTAGACTTTTAGTATTACTGCAGTGAATGTTACTTATAAAAGTGTATATCAGTAGGACATCAGAAAGTATGAGAAATGACAACTATCGATTGGTGAAGATTCAGGAATGAAAAAGGCATAATATCAAAAACACTGGACACTAGGGATGCCAAACAAGGAAAATGGTTAGAAATGTAAATTTACTGTAAAGTTTGATAATTATATTATTTTTTGAGGGGGTTGTGGAGATTTGGAAATATTTCAAGTTGTTATTCATCGAAGACTGACATCAGTTGGAGGAACAAAGGAAACCTGGGAGCACTGGACAGCTGTTTCGTCCTAGTATGGGACTCCTCAGCAGTGCGCACCCACGACCCCACCAGCAGGGATCGAACCCGCGACCTTCAGGTTCCGCGACCAGCGCGTTACCATTGAGCCACTGGGTTCCTCCAACTGATGTCAGTCTTCGATGAATAACAACTTGAAATATTTCCAAATCTCCACAACCCCCTCAAAATTTAATTGAACTAGTGCTCGTTGGTGACTAGCTTCGAGAAGTATTCCCGAAGTTCCAATGACAAGTCGTGACCGGTGGAGTCAAAGCCTGATGGTCGTGAGGACAAATACTCAACGATGACATTGGGTGGCGGTTTGCGCTATATCGTGAGCTAACAGAAGTTGGAAATATGGAGCATTGGATTCTGACCCAGTGGCTCAATGGTAACGCGCTGGTCGCGGAACCTGAAGGTCGCGGGTTCGATCCCTGCTGGTGGGGTCGTGGGTGCGCACTGCTGAGGAGTCCCATACTAGGACGAAACAGCTGTCCAGTGCTCCCAGGTTTCCTTTGTTCCTCCAACTGATGTCAGTCTTCGATGAATAACAACTTGAATTATATTATTACTGATTTTAATTTTTTAATAAACACTTTCTACTGCTTTATTAGACTCCTCTCTATGATTAAATCGAGATGGAGAATACAAGTTGACAAGTGAAAATGTATACTCTGTATCGGTACTGAAATTTAATGGATATTCATTCTATATCGCATACTCCTATGCAGCTGACTTTATTGAACGTTGTAAGCGGGCCCTCCCAAAAACGTGTTACTGAACATTACCCGGTTTGATTTACCAAAGTTGAACGAAGGAAAACGACTTCTTCTGTATGTGAACACTTAGTAGAATTAGGTCATTCAGCATCTCGAGATTTATTCTTTAAAATAATTTACAAAGTTAAGTTGAACTACCCCAAAGGTTTACGTTTTCATCACTTATGCATAGCTGAAGCATTAGCTATACATGAATAAAAAACGAAAGTTTGCATTGAAAAACGTTTTGTAAAACCACTTTCTCTGCCTTGACCTCAACAATTCATTTTGATGATTTTGTCAATTTCATTTCACTTCATTTTGGTATGCTTTTCTTTTATTATCATCATAATCACCAATTTTTCACTTCATTGACAACATTTGACCCATATTTCACTATTTAATATCATCAATTCATTACTTATTCATTGACCTATCTGGCATGTTTCAGTTAAATTATCAGCGTTTTACAATTCGTTGACAACACTTGTCTCATCTCACTACCTGTTATCAATTTGTTCCTTATTCAGTGACCCATTTTCTATCTCTTCGACTTGAGCAATTTTTTAGTGCAATTATTTGTCATTTTACCAAGTATAAATACGACTGTACAGCTTGATAATGATAAGCCATTGAAAAGAAATATTTCTTCTTCGCTAATACATGCCTTGTTCTTAGCCATGAATAAAGGGGTATACTTCATCAGTATATCAAATCTGTTAATGTCAACAGTCAGTCAACTTGTCAATCTTTCAATATTTTATCCTACTATGATAGTGTAAAAAAGGCCTGGTAACAAAGAGAACTTGGAAAATTTAGCTTTCTTATCAGTCAAGTAAAGAAATTACATCTGTGCAATGGTTAGCTGACTATTGGTTTGTTTATCAGATACGTTGACAGGCTGAAACTTGATTATCAAGTCAAATTCTTGAATGATCATATGGAACACTCAAAGTTTAACAAATACGCTATGAAACGTGATTCAACGACTAATTACAAGATATGCATTCTGGATGTTCGTGAAACTTAACCTTGAAGCTCTTGTAATATAACAGCATTATAGGTGAGAAGCGAAGAGTGGGAGTCAACCACTTACCTCAACTTCATCGATTTTGAAAAGCCTTCAATAGTGTCGACCGAGAAATTTGGCAGCTCCTTCAATACTACACTTTTAGTCCCACAAACCTTTATCAACCATATTCAACAGCAGCTATATGCTGTGTGATGCTACATATCAAGTGATTCACAACACAATGGAAAGCTCAGTGATGCCTTTGAAATGAAGACAGGGGACAGGAGTAAGACAAGGTTTCCTACTACCACCGATCATCTTCCTGAATGTGGTCGACTGGACTGGACTGGATCATGCAACCAACTGTGAGAAGCGAGAAGAGGAGCATACGGTGGCTGGACCGATGAAAAGACCCTTCATTGATCTGAAATCAGTGTGGAGATCTACTGCACTCCACTCCACTCAGCATAAAGCACGAACAACATCCCGATTCTCAACACTAATTCACTCAAGTAAGTCAGTGCTTCTATATGATGGTTGGTAGACTTAGAGCGTTACGAAAAGCATTTCCAACAAACTGCAGACATACAACAACAACACCCTCTGCCTACGCTCACTCGATACTCAAAACGGACATCAGATGGCCAGAATAATAAGAAAAAGCAAGCAGAAACTCTGGTTGGCCCTGCAATGAACCAACCAACCAAGAAGCTATCACCCAGCAAATATGTAGACGAAAGTGGAAATGGATTGGATTGGGCATACACTGAGAAGACCAAATGGGGACATCCTGCGCCAGCCCCAGGCCAAGTGGAACCCAAATGCCAGGCGACGAGTTGGGTGTCCGAGGTATCATGGAGGAGATGGTGTGAAGAAGAAATGAAAGCTTGTAGGCAGCCGTGGAGCCAGGTTCAAAAGACTGCAGAGAAGAGAGTGAAATGGCGAGGTGCTACTAAAGCCCTATGTTTTACTAGGAACCCAAAGGACAAATAATAATAATAAGTGAGGAGAAGTAACGTATGGCTGTAAGAGAAAAGGCATATCCACATTATAAAATTCACCTAAATGTTTTAAGAATGAATGCATAGGGGATTTGATAAAGACCCTTGAAGTGGTATTATTCAGAATTGTTGTGTCAGGCTGATGGTGTTCTATTTCCTTGTAATATGAGTTGGAAGAAAGAATTTTTACGCTTATTCACCTACTATAAGCAAGAAAGTAAAAAGGAAACTGATAAACACCTTCTACAGGATAACTTGAAATAGTTTTCTACAATCTAATACAAATATATAATAAGAATAGTTAATTATAAGATTTATATTCATTAATTACCTCTTTAGTTTTAATCAGTTGGTTAGCAAACGATAAATTTGTGATTAATAATTGTTGTGTAAATTTATCTAGTTTACGCTTCTCAGTTAAAAAATCTTGAAATGGTCGGTTTTCATATGCTAAAATTTAGTGAAGGGTAAATAAACACAGAAAATGATATAAATTAGTAAAACTATACCCCCGCAAAATGGTATAAAGTCAAGATAGATAATATATTACAACTTATGATATGGAATAACCCATATGTTGTAATCACTTCAGTTTGTCAACATTCAATCACATTCGCCTATATTTGTTAATTCCATCTCTGTATATATAAGTAGTAGAGATAAAAATGACCAGCCAATTCGATTCTTATTCTTAGAATAGGGAAAGTATATGAGAGAACCAAACTGGTAGAAATATGCGGGATTTTGCACATATTCAAGGCATCTTAAGTGTGTTTCGAATCCTATAAATTATCTTCACCTCACTTATACGTAAATATGTGGTAAGTCAATGAAACTATAACTATTTGAGGAATAAATTCCTTGAAATTGCAATGGTACATTAAGATGTAAGTCGATAACACAGTTGATGATACTAGACGTTCGTTAAGAATGCTAACGAATGTGGACACCATAAAAGATAACAACAAACAAACTCTTCTGAATTCCATATTAGATTTGTTTGTTTGATTTATAACATAAAGTGATACAGTATTATTCACTGGATGACGACATTTTCAGCATAAATTATTATCACTCATAATCATATCAATGTTATCACACCACTTTCAACAAACAATTTTCATAGTCCTATAACTTCGTATTCTTTCTTACTATAGGTATTAAAACTTTCCATATCTCTGGTATATAGGTGTTGTGTCATTCCTATTACGTGTTGAGTGTAGATTCGATGAACAAAGCTTCAATAATCTCTCTCTCTCCATCTAATTATATTAGACTCGAGTACAGTGGTTTTATTTCACTCACCCTATTGTGTGGTTTTGTGTTAATGAATACATTGCAATAACCGAGTTTTTTCGTTAGATTATTGATCTTATTCGGGTCTGTCATTCTGTATTTAGTTAAATTCTTATGTTCCACTATTCTGACTGACCTTTGTACTTGACCTCGAAAGTCATCACATGGGATTTGATAGATCAGATTATTTTGCTTAATTAGTTCTATCAAATCCTTAAGCCAACCAACACAGTTTATCTCTGAGTAAGTTTGTAGGTTTAAATGCCACCCTAGTTCCAGCCTAGTTGGGGATCCTTAGTAAAGTTTCTCATGTACCTACTTTTTAGGGTAACACAATGGAGGCTGTGAACTCATTCCTACTCATGTTGTCGCCATTATTTGTATTCATATCACTTTCATCATTTCGTTTTTTATGTTTGTACGAATTTCTTAATAAACTGTAGAGGATAATTATTAACTATTAGTGCCTCTTTTATGCGCTTCAGTTCCTTGTTTACGTCCTTGCATTGACTAGCCCTATCATTGAGACATATGACTAAGCCTACCTTAACTCATATTGGATGAGATGACCTGAGGTCTAGATACCTGTTAGAATGTATTGATTTTTTGTAGACGGTAGTATCCAAACCACTGTCTGTTGTTTGTTTTATCCTGCAATCTAACATAGTTCTCCTTGTTCACTGTCTACCTCGTAATTGAATTGGATTGCGTCTACTACTGAGTTTATATGTGAAGAAATTGTCGATATGCTTCGATTTCAACACAGCAAATGTGTCATCCACATATCACCACTCGCAGATAAGCTTTGTCAGCTTAAGGGTCAGATAGAAACAATCGAGCATATTAACTGAATCTATCAAATTCCTGGTCGGCTGGATCATGCAGTAAACTGTGAGGAGTGAGAAGACGGCCATACGCTGGATCGATGAAAAGACCCCAGAAGATTTCGATTTCCCCGATGATTTGCGTCTAATATTGCACAAACTCGAATATCTGCCGGCAAAAACCAACAAGTTGACAGGGAAGGAAGCGAAGATGAGACTTTCTTCAGGTGAAAGTAGAGAAGACACATGTGATGAAGATACTAAACCAACAACAACAACAACAACAAGCACCACCAACGGAAGAAACCTAAAGGAAGTTCCCTAGTCCACCTACCTTCATAGGCAGCACCATCCTCTCAACTAAAGGCCACATAAACACAAGCACACATGACGATGTCAAAACAGACAGCATAGGAAACACAGAAACACAGGCCTTCCTGCATCAATCTAAACTCAGTGTGGAGATCTACTACACTCAGCATAAAGCATCAACAACATCCGGATTCTCAACACCAATCCAATCAAGTCAGTCAGTGCTTCTATGTGATGGTTCACAAACTTGGCGCGTCACGAAAATCACACCCAACAAACTACACACATTCATTAACACCTGCAACCTACGCTCACTCGATAGATACTGACACTGAAGATAAGATGGATGGCCAGAAAGAATAAGCAACAACGAACTCTGGCTGGCTGGCTGGTGACGAACCAACCAACAACTAACTCATTGCCCAACAAATATGCAGAAGAAAGTGGACGTCGATTGGGTTGGGCATGCACTGAGAAAGACATTCGGAGACATCACGCTCCAGGCTAGGCACTCGAGTGGAATCCGATGGGGAAACGACGAGTTGAGCGTGATATGGAGGAGATGGTGTGAGGAAGAAATGAAAGATTATGGGCAGTCGTGAAATGAGGTTGAAAAGACTGCAGAGAAGAGAGTGGGATGGAGACGTGCTACAGAAGCTCTATGTTCCACTAGGAACCCAAGGAACAAATAATATAATAATAATAATAATAATAATAATAATAATAATAATAATAATAATCAAATTTCGTGTAATGATTGCGAGGTCAACTATATTTGTCAGTTTGATTAGGGCAACTTAGGAATTTAGCGATTGCCTCGTCACACAATGTTGGCCAAAGTAGGTCCAGGCTGCAAAAAGGCTCGAGGTGGCCAGACTAAAACATGGCACCAATGTATGAAGTCTCTGACTGTTGGTTTGAACCATATGGATCGATCCAGACTAGGTGGTTGTGGTCCGCGGGACAAGAGGAACCATTTTGTCGCTCCTCTTTCCTTTCTTCTCGTACTTTATATTTCTTTTGAGTGCATTCACTTATCTTCATCCTTTACCTCACTACCTTTCTACTTGATGAACTGACGTGAGATGTGGCAACTGGGACCGTGGCGGAGTAATGTCTGGTCCTATGTTGATAATGATTGATTGATTAATTGAGCTTTCATCGTCTTGCTAGACGACAACATCAACGCTAACTTCAGTATGAAGTGAGCTATCAATATCTATTCGTGATTGATTCACTAGCTTGCCCTGACGATGTGGTCTCTGATTGGTTGTTTCCTTCGATTGTTGTGTCATTAATTGTATAGACTTTCCTGTTGGCTGTTCCACTGCTTGACCTCTGACCTTTCTGTCGTTTATCATTTTTCCTATTGGTTTATAGATCGGGTCCATTAATATAGGAGAAAAACTTGGGCACTGTGGTAGAATGTAATTCCATATTAGATTTGTTTATTTGATATAAAGCGCACAGTGATACAGTATTATTTACTTGAATACGTTTCGAGCATAAATTATTGCTCATAATCATATCAATGTGATATGGTATGATATGTCATATGATATGATTATGAGCAATAATTTATGCTCGGAACGTAATCAAGTAAATAATACTGTATCACTGTGCGCTTTATATCAAATAAACAAATCTAATATGGAAGATCGGGTCCATGTCTATACATCTATTGATTGACCTGAATGCCAAGTATCTAGGATTTCTCTAATATTCTTCGTGTTTCCTCTCTCCGTCGAAATTGAATTCATCTCCATACTTGTTATCCACGTGCATTGAAATGAGTGATGAAATGTCATGTGTGACGTTTAATAGCCAATTGGTGCTCATGTAGACGAAGGAGAAGAGGGCGGCCACTTTGTTCAATGTAGTGTTAACTATAATTATTACAGTCAATTTTGTAAATCAAACAATGTGAGCGAAGAAATATTTCTTTTCAATTAGTTCCTCATCAATGGCTCTACACTAATATAGTATTTTCAAACGTAAAATTACATACCAATCTAGTGGTGAGAGTTGTTCAATGAAAGGTTATCAATCTCAAAGTTTTAAGAAGGTGATAATTGATCAGTTAATTAAGACAGTTAACTAAAGCAAAGATTAATTATCGTAGAAAGATTTTGTGAACAGGTTCTTCATAATTGATATTTTATATAATAACTAAAGAGCAAAATGAACTGTTACGTAAAATGGTAAATTGTTGACGGTAATTAGAGACAGTAGGGGGAGAGAAAGATGATTAAGTCTGTAATAATAATAATAATAATGGAGCTATTGAAATATTAGTTATAGTGAATTGTGTGGTGGATGAAATGAAGAGTCTTGTTGTAATAAATGAGCTATACAGATGGCCAAGGCAAAGAAAGAGGCTGTACGAATCTTTTCTGAACACACAGACTTGGCTTGTGTAGGTGGATTCCTATGGCTTCTGCTGTATGTAAAAGACGGACTGGTAGAGGATGGGTGAGGTGAGAAGGAATGTGATAAATAACTTTAAAGGCATTATGAATGTTAACTCGGTGGCCGGTGTCAATCAGATGAGAGAGTATTGAGCTTCGTGTCAGTCTGGTTTCCCCCTTACTTAGCCATGAAGGATGATGCTCGGCGATTCGACGACGGACTTGCCTAACTGTACGTCCAATGTAAATGTAAATGATGTTCGGTTTGTCTTCTTTGTTTGTTGCATCCTTTGGTCTGCATAATTGTGTTTGGAGGGAATTTGTTGGTTTATGAGTCACACCAATTCCATCAAGTGGTCTCAGTAATCTGGTCGTGACTTCTGATATATTCTTTATGTACGATAGGATGATGCATTTGTTGATTTCTGTCGATAACTTTGTAGTTGATAATGTACGGGATGGGCATCTTCTGATAAAGTTTCATGGGTGGCTGTTCTTCTTTAGGATGGACATCAAGTAATTTTCATCGTTTCTTCGTGAAGTTGTTGTGCTGCAGTATGTTCTCACTCTTTTGAATAGAGTTTGCACGCAACTGATTTTGTGTGTTGTTGGGTTGTTGCTATTGTAGTTGAGGATTTGGTCAGTGTGTGTTGGCTTCCTGTACACTTGGGTTTCCAGTTTTCCGGCATTTATCCTACTAACTAAAACATTCAGGAATGGTAGTTGGTTGTTTGACTCCCTCTCCATTGTGAATTTGATGTCATTGAAAACGTTGTTGATCAAACTGTGAGTGATTTCTATATCATCTTTTTTAATGATGACAGAAGTGTCGTGCACATAGCGAATCCAAATGTTTGGTTTGATCACAGGTAGAATAATGGCTTCCAGTCTCTGTATCACTGCTTCTGCAATTAATTCGGATATCAGTGATCCCATTGGAGTTCCTCTCATCTATTTGGATAATGTGATTAGAAGACGTAGATTATCTGATTACATTATCCAAATTCATAAAAGGGACTAATTGTTTCACATTCCTTTCATCTGTTTGTATATCTTGCCATTAAATTGGAAGTATGTTGTATGATAAGCATGTGTTCCACACATGCTTATCACCCTCCATTTATAGTGTTTAGAAGTAGCCCATTCAACACAAACTATCGTCTATTAAGGATTAATCTCCTTCACAAGTTTGAGTAAATGTCGATCAATGTCAGCTAATATTTTAGAATTTATAAGCGGCTGCACGGAAAACGCGTTGCTGAACATTACTCGATCTAGTTTATCAAAGACGACCATAGCAAAACAACTTCATTCATATGTGAACACCTAATAAAGTTATTAGGTCAAGATTCATCCTTTTAGGTAATTTACAAAGTTGAATAAAACTACTTCAAGGATCCTTGTTTTCACCACCTATCCATGCGTAGCTTAACCATTTAGCTATAAGCGAACAATAAGCGGAACTGTGGATATAAAAGCGTTTTGTGTAGTCACTTTCTCCACCTTCTCCGCCTTAACAATTCATTTTGATTAGTTTATCAATTTTATTTCACTTCATTGTATACTTCAGTTTAATAATAATAATTTCACATTTCTTTGACTTGAAATCAATTCGTTCATTATTCAGTAACTCATTTTCTATATCTTCCACTTGAACAAATCCCATTACAACCAACATCAATTGTATCCTGTGTATATTGAGTGAGAAATGTTTTAGTATATTTAACTAATGTTTTATCGATTATTATTACAACTGTACAGTTTGATAATGATGAATCGTTGAAAAAAAATATTTCTTTGCTGATAAAAATATTCTTCTTCATATTTTCAATTTCAAAGGCATATTTAGACTTCAATTAGTTTATTTCATATATAGTAATTACCATTGAATATCATCAAAATATCTACATCCTATTTCATTCAGAGGTCAAAATTCAATTCCTGGAAGTTACCAAGCTTGAGAATGACTAACACAGAAATTACTATGATCACCTCTTTAGATGAAGAATTTTACAATATCTTCAAAAACTATCATAAAAAAAAAGTATAGTAAAAAGATCTAATCAACTGAAAATGAAGATATTTTATTGGCTAACAGTCAAACACAACGATCTATCATTAACCTACTCGAGTAGTCGTCATCACAGTTAACACTTGTTGCATCATGTTGGGTATCGTTGATAATCAAATGAAAACACCATTCAAAAAATGAGCCCAAAGCTCTTTTCTGATGTAAACTAAGTAAGCGTGTTTTAAATACATCAGAACGACAAACAGGAATCTAATAATATAAAAATAAAACAAAAGAGAGGACAGTCAAAATATAATACATAAACAAAGCTTGACTAGAGAACTGTTTGTAGGAGCATCATACGCCTAATTTGACAGATTTTCTCAGGAAACAAACTCTTTGTTAGTTCAATTAATGCTAACCTAACTAGTCATTATCTGTCTTGAAGTGCAATGCTGGACGAAGTAGGTTAAGGCTAGAAAAAGGCTAGGTACAGCTAGAATAAAACATGGTATCATCGTATGAAGTCCTTGACTCTTGGTCTGAACATTGTGGGGAGATGTATACTAGTTGGTTTGGGTCCAGTGGTTGGAGATTGACTCTAGGTGATATGGTTCAGAATCGATATCAGTGGTACAGATATATCTTCATCTTAACCGCTATATTGAATTTAGTATTTTCACATTTCCCCTTTCTCTATTTTACTACTTTCGACCAATTTTTCTCTCTTTCTTCGTCTGTCATCTTATTGGTTACATTAGAACAGCATTATTCACTGGAATGTGTTTCGTACATAAATGATTATCCATAATCATATCAAGATCATCTCCATAAATGCATTCAATAAATCAATTAAAAATTGGTGAAAATTCTTTTCGATTCAAGTGGCATAGGAACCATTGTCTAAGATAAAACAAAGATTTCGGTTTACACAGTCTAATACTTGAACTTCTATATAGTTATTCAGTTGTATTTGATAGCTTAATGTTGCTGTCAGTGAGTTAAAAATGCCTCTTTTCAGACGATCAATACTACAGTTCATCTGAAGATCTGTGAAATAAGCACTAGTCTATATCAATCAAGACGGTATTGAACGCCAATTAGTGTAATGTAAACTAAAATTGGTCTGTAACAAATAAAATTCGTCAACAAGTTTCCTAACTAAAATCATGGTCCAATTTGTATGTCTGAAGAATATCTTGGTAGAAATGAATATGAGCAAGGAAGATCAAGTAGTTAGTTTAAAAAATATACTTGAATACAACTTGCTTCAACTTGGAAAATTATAACTTTAAATTATAGCCATCCATCCAAATCAATATAGGACCAGGGATTACTGCGTAACCGTCCGAGTTGACACACCTCATATCAGTACATCAAGTAAAAACACAGAGAAGTGGAAGATGAAGAAAAGAAATACGAAGTACTAAAAGAGAGGAAGGAAGAATAGGAAAATGATGGGGTTCGGTATAGAGTCGTTAAGATGAGGATAATGTGTGTATACATCCACCCCACTGACATCGGTTCTCAGCCATATCATCTAGAGTCTCCAACCACTGGTTTCTCATGTCCCGCGAACCCCAACCACCTAGTCTGCATCGTCACATATGGCTTAAACCAACAGTTAAACACTTCATAGATTGGTGCCATAATTTAGTTCGATCGCCTCGCGCCTTTTTCCAGCCTGAACCTACTACGGTCAACATTGTGTGACGAGGTAGATGGTGGCTAGGCATACATAACACGTGTCACAACCATCTCAGTCGATGAAGGTTCACATCTAAATATTAACCTGACATGATAATTGGTTATATAGTGTGGAGGAAAAGCCTGAGACATTTTATTAGGTTGACCTTCCATTATTTTCTTAGATGATATCAGTTCCGTCAAGGTTGTAGATATGCCTTTCTGAAAAGTGCCAAAAAGCACGAAACCTAGGTTAAGCAGGGGATATTGCCGATTGCCTCCATTTAACCAACATCGATTACGATTTGTCTACTGTTCCAATTATTAGTTGTTTTAGGAATTTAGGGTAATGTAAGCGAGTTTGCACTCAAGTATACATAACCTCAAAGTACAACTTATATGATGATAACCCATATTTTCATTAATTTTTAGTTCAAAAGTGCAGTGAGAGGAGAATGATGTTTTTAAAATAAATACTTTTGAAACTCATCATATTCAAGTTATCCAAATGTAAACATCCTAAGTTATATAATACATTCTATCTGGAGGTTTGTGGACGTTGACTAATTTGATTTTAGGTTGGAATTCATCATGAACTGACATCAGTTGGAGGAATATTGGAAACCTGGGAGCACTGGACAGCTGTTTCGTTCAACTAGTGTGGGACTCCTCAGCAGTGCACATCCATGACCCAGCCCCAAAAGGGATCGAATCCAAGACCTTCCGGTTCCGTGGCCATCATGTTACCATTGAGCCACTGTGTCGAAATCCTCTGGTCTATACTTCCGGCTTCTATCAATTCACGATATAGCGCGACCTACATCCAATGTGGCAGTTGAGTAACTGTACTCATGTTCGACTTATAATGAGAAAAAGTTGGAAATTTAGAGATTACTTACTTTGACTACACGACCAACAAGACGTTTAGAGTTAACCTGATTGTTAGCATCATTTGAACTAATCCCAGCTTTTGTTTCATACTGATTATCATCACTGACAAAGGCCAATAAACGTGATACAAAACGAAATTCCAAATAACGTGTTACATCAGCACGTAGAAGTGCAGTCACTGTAGGACTATGTGAATAAACTATCTGGAAAATAAAGAAGTTATAGCCCTGAACATACTGTGAAGAGTGTGCAACACATCATAAACACACACAATATTTTTTTGAAAGAGCATGATAAAACAAATCTAATAATTTAAAACAAGCGAAAAATGTGAAGAAAGTAGGGTTTACTGAATTGATAAGTTCCAGTAGTACTCGTCAGTTGGATACTCTACATACTTGATTATATCTACCATTAAGCAATGGGAAAGAACATACATATACACATATATATATAACGTATACAGAGACACCGATTTAGGTGTACCAATTCAGAAATAAACAGATTTTACAGGTCAATTGGTAATACAAAGGGTAAAAATGGATGTCCAAAATTGAATGAGTTGGGGATAGGTTACATGGTTAACTGGGTTTGGTTGATGGTGGATTTCAGGTAGGAAAATAATGATAATAATAATAACAATTTATACTAGGCAATGATTGTAGGTGAAGTGGAAATTTGGACGGCGGTCGAATTCAAACCAGCGACTACCAGATTTCCAGCCCTGATACGAGGTCCGACTGCTGACCACATTTTTTTATTTCACTTTAATCACAAGGCGAGGTTTTGCCCGACTACCATGTGAATTCATGACGCATTACTGCCGCTTGATCGTATTCACACTGGCTACCTAGTCAAGACTTCTCAGCCTAATCCACATCTAACTGAATTAGAGAAGAGGAGCATCATGTTGATTATCATTTTGACTTATTGATAATGTTGACACAAGGGTGGGAACTGAATCGGTTGAGCATCGATCACATCATTCAAAATAAGATAGTTAATAGTATTTATGCAGATTCCTCTGCTAGCCACCAAGATCAATATAATGTCATAAATATCCAGAAGTATTAAGGCATCCGCATAGGAGCTCATCTGCCAACAGAGGTCGAGCATTTCGGCCATTTATAGCAACAGGAGATTAAAAGTATCATAACAACAACAAACGTGTATGCAGTTTGTTGTAGTATCGAAATTTATGCTAAACATACAACTCCATTTTATATACAGGACCTCATTCCTAACATTTATTACATTTTTTTCCACTGACTTTAGTGAAAGAGATTTTCTTGAAATGAGTAACGTATTTCTGTGTACTATGCAGACCTACGATCATTATCGATAGTAATGATGTTTAGAAAAATAACACTGAGAGCCTACAGGCATAAACTAAACTAAGTTATACGGGATTTTTACCTTTGGAAGTATGTCAATATCATGTCGACGTACAGCTTTTTGTAATTTAAGCCGAGACCATGAAAATTCTGACAATTTTCTTTAATATCAACATTGGTAGATACTTGATTTGGTGCTATCACATCATTTTCTCGTTCATCACTGACATTGTGCCCAACTTCTTGTTGGTATTCATCTCCAAGTTGACGTATTACATCGGAAATTTCATCACCAATATGATTCCGTTGAACAGTTTTATCAATAGGCAGTGTTGTTGTGCTTGGTACATCGCTAACACTTGTATTATTCACAGTCCCGCAGGTGTTAACTTCATCTTCTTTATCATCAAAACTTTTGCTACAAGTATCGCTAATAATAATAATAATAATAACAATAATAATAATAATAATAATAATAATAATAATAATAATGTAATGATGGATAGTAGCTAGCAGTGGAATCCAGGATACAAGCAACAACACTAATAATAATAATGGTTAAAAAATACTATGGTAATACCTTACTGCTGTAACTACATAATTATCAGATCAGTCTCATTTAATAGGTCTAAGTGTACTGAGAATTCGTATGTCAATTATCGACAGTATATGAAGACTTCAACAAGCAAGCAAATCCTATGAAGCAATTTCAAATTGGAAACTCAATATTCTTTCCATATTAGATTTGTTTATTTGATATAAAGCGCACAGTGATACAGTATTATTAATCAATTAAATAATACTGTATCACTGTGCGCTTTATATCAAATAAACAAATATAATATGGAACTACATTCTACCACAGTGCCCAAGTTTTTCACTTATATCAATATTCTTTCTCTATGACAATTATCTACTTTCCTACTTAAAGCATGGATATTACTGCAAACAGGCATTATTTGAAAGCCTACAGCATTAGACAAGTGTTCTGTTTAGTTTTATAGCTGTCTCATCCTCACCCGTCCATAAAGTCTCCAATTATTGCTCTTAGTTTTACTATTGAAAACACAAAAGAAATCAATGGATGAAAACTTTCGTGATACGAATCAAAGTTGATTGTAATGACGCATTAGAAACCAAACCCTATCTTCCTGGATATTTACGCATTCTATTCCCCTTCACCTCTGGTTTCTTTTGCCTAATTTTCGTACCACCACTTAACTTATATTTTTCGGCCTTGCTAGTTGCTTCTACTTGCTCTGATGTGAAGTGTAACAACTTGGATCAATAAGGGATTGAAATACTTCCTAATTTGTTAACTATTTTCTTTTCCTGCAAATGTCAGCTGAACCCAAGTGGAGACGTGTGGGTTTCGTGAACAGTACGATGCAAACAGAGCATTAAATCGCAATTCGCAGTTTTCTAATTGTTATTTGGTCGACGAAATGCCGCTATCATCAACATCTACATAACAGCAGGCATTACTGCATTACGCTCCACGATATAACATCTCCCATTTGTATAAAAGGCGATAATGAACAAAGACGAATCGTTCAAAAGGAGAAGAGTGTGGTGGACGACAAAAATGGAGGATCGAAAAGTATTCAAGATGTCTGCAAACATCTGCGCTACTCACATCCATTCTAAACTGTCGCACAGAGTACCTAACCGCTGGTCACCACTGTCACACAGACCCCAAACGGTAGGCTTACTTTACCCTACACGGCTCACACAAACAGTCAAAGACTTCACAACCTCATCAACTGACTTTCCTCTTCTGCCTTAAACTCTGTATGTGACCTCACCACTGACACCACGACGCATGACTTGTGCTACGAAGGCAACGGTGGTCGAACTCCACGTTTAATGACCATCTTCCACATCCATATAGCAGAACCGAGCAAACTGCAACACAGTACACTCGACCCTTAGTAAGTAATCGGATCTCATGACAGCGCCTCAAATGGCATAAGTGGGTGAGAGCCGATCGAGCTTTTTGTATCCATCCTGAGATTTCGTCGACCAGTGATCCATCCATCAGGGCTAAACACACTTCCTAGATAAGTGACACGGTCAACACCCTTAACCATTTCACTCCCCATTGTTAAATAGGGCACCACTGAAAACCAGTTTCGAAGCAGTAACTTGCATTCGGGTGATAAGAAACGCATACCAAACATTCTGTAATTGACTTCCTAGGTGTCCAAAAGACTCTGCATCGTTTCAGTCTCCTCCCTAACAGGACTTTCATCTGTTTATTCCAGATCATCTAACGTTTCTTCTCTAATAAGACCAATCATTGTTAAGTCAGATGCCAACAGAAAGCCCTCCATAAGTACATCTGTGATAAAGTTTAATACGAGTAGTGAGATGGAACATTCCTGATGGATATCACTCGACGTACATAACGCACTTGACAACTCACAATAGGCTGTGACACACTCACGGGTGTCCGAGCAAAGAGTCTTCAACACAGTTTTGTACTTACTCGGCATCCGTTTAAGTGAGGGGGACTGCCACAAAACCTCTCGATCAATGAAGTTGAATGCCGCCTTCAGATCTAAAAATACAGTCGGCGTTGGACGTCGGTAATTGTGTCTGTGTTCCACAACCTACTGGAGTGTGAACATCTGGTTGACAAAGCGATAGCCATGTCTGAAGTCGGCTTGGTTTTCTCGGGTTTTTTGTTACCGAAATCTACTTAGACGTCTAGTGATTATAGGACCTTGAATTTTAGACACAATGTCTGTCAGGTTGATCTCCCTCTGGTTATGACAAGAGAGAGCGGAGACCACTCAGCCACCTTGTGCATGTGCGTGTGTAGTAGGCGATGAGCCATACCTATTGTGTTAGGGCTATTGATACTACCTGGCTGCTCTAAAGTTAGTAGACGGGGAGGAGTTCGAAGCCGTGATGACTGGGACAATCAGTGGTTGACAGCAGTCAGAGAGATTCATATTTGACTCCCACAGACGTTTAAACAGTTTAGTTAGCTTGACTAAAAATCCTTGACCACCGTCATTAGATACCTCTGTAAATAGTCCCTATGTCCCTGCTGCTCTTCCACATTTCAGACTGATTACACCTACCTTTACTGCTGCAAGTGTTGGGGAGCCCTAGTCCAATGTTTCTTTGAGGATTCGATTGGATAACCAGCAGTCCAATAGTAGCTGGAGGTCAGTTGAACTGTTCTTCGAAGTGTCCCACTTATCGTTGAACTCGTCTTTCCTGCGAGTGAATCGTAGACGCATCCTTTTTCGCTATAGCCTCACTAGTTACTGAGCTTTTCGCCCCAATTTCCAGAATAAGTCTAAATAACTGCCATCTGATAACAATCGCTGATGCCTTTTCCATCTCTTTAGCCTTTGACACCCACCACTATTCACAATCATTGCATATACTTTTTATCAACCTACATTTCAGTTGTTTCGGTTCCTCATTATGGTCGGGGGACATGTGCATCCGACTGCGAACTCATATCACCAGCACAAGTATGCTATGGGTTAGAGGAGAGTGCGCTATTTTTAGGACCAACCTTTTATACACCCCCTCCCCATATGGGAAGGTAGTAACAGCGTGGAATACCGTAGTAGCTCGACAATATCAGGTATTACTTATTCTCTTTCAGAGGTCTTAGCACCGAAATGCATATTATGGATTCGAGGAGTTTAGTGTACACAGTGTCACACAGTCCAGAGATCTTACTTTAGATCTTGAGCTGAGTGATCTTCTAAAGTGTTAGTTATCGAGACTTAACCCAATCGTTAAGTGGTCCGACAGTTGCATCCATTAACCTTTAAGTAGAGGAAAATCATTCGACTGGTAAATTCTTGCAATCCTATGAAAAGCTTAGACACAGGTAAGATCTAGGATGAAACGGGGTTAGTATAAGCATAGAACGGGAACTCTTGTAGTATATACATCCATATTACATTTTTCGGTTCAATATTACACACAGTGACATGGTATCATTTACTGAATGGTTGGCGTTACCGAAAATGAAATCGTTTTTAGTAAGATACCTTAGGACACAAGGTAGTGTCAAAAATCTTAGGTTTGTTACTTTGCAAATTTCTGAGTACCAGATCATTTGACTTTTTCTACTAGTCGTATCAAGTATGGAAAAGTCAACCATCTCTACAACGAATTGCCAAGTTACCAAAGGAAATATTCTTAAGTCTAATGAAACATAAAAGCTAATCTTAAATGGAAAGTAAGTTTGAAGATATGATGTTAACGAGTATTCAGCATGTAGTTATAATCCTTTGTATCTTCCTAGCGAACTATAATAAAATTAGACGCTTTACTAAGTTTCTGTGTCCTCAAAATTTCCACTGTCAACTGTTTCAACGTGAAAATGGACTTATGTAATCATAGTTGTCACCCAAATATCTACTCACCTTTTACGCTCTTGACAACTATTTATTTCTACCATCAAACACCGTAGTCGGGAACCTGAGATGTCTGCACACAAAAGCCAGTATTCGTCAAAGATGAAGTCTTTTGACAGAAATTATAAACTCGTATTTTCTCGTTGGTAAAGTATCAATACTGTATTATGGAATCGATCTCTGAACATTTTATCCGCACTGAACTCCTCACATGTGTAAACTGTTCCCAGGTCTTTTAAGCGAATCAAAAGCTTCCAGAAATTTTGAAGTATTCAACTTGATGTCTATGATTTATATGGTTTAACCAAACTTCTATTACTCAATTAATGATGTGAACTACATAGGTGCTACAAATACACCTCAAATTGTCCTCTTATGTCGATAGAACGTTTTGTACTGGTACATGAATTCCTATTACTTTTAGTACACTACTGGAACTATATATTTCACCCGATTACTGAGAACTTTAACAGTCCTATTCGGCAGTCGATTAGCAAGACATGACTGTTACTATCATCGAGAAAACCAATGTGTTCCGAAAGGCTACAAGAAGAGGATTACAAGGACAGTTTATGGCACTTTACTTGTGATATGCAAAAAACAACAAATACAGCACATCAAAATAAAACTTACCTCAAATACCAGTATGATGACCTATGAGTAACTAAAGAAGAATTGATCTCACTAAGGTCCAAAATTTTACCATCAAAACTTGGAGAAATAATGGAACCTTTAGTTTGCTAATAAAGGTAAAATGAGGATACTTGTACAAAGACAGTCTATCTTACATTTTGGTTTAGAAATTTCTCAAATTCAGAAAACCGTAAAGAAGCAAGAACTCCACCGTAATAATCATTCCTTCGATAAATTAACAAGTGTCAAAATTTATCATAATTACCGATCAATATGAAGTACTTGCTTCCCCAATATTGACAAACTTGCTGAGATTAGGGACTCACTTAAACCTGAAACGTTTAAAGAAAAATAATCGTAAGAACTCGACTATGAAGAGTTAAGCAAAGAGGAAGTGATGTCTTAGCAAACAAAAAAGGAAAGTTTTTGACCACGAAATTACAAAAAAAGGAAATACTGTGGTAGGTACTTGCTCAACATAAAAACTTGAGCATATATTTCCTTACAATTGACATACTTGCTTAAAAAATGACCAACTTGTGGTCTACCAGTCAGTCCCTATCAACATGAGACTTGGCATTAGTGCAACAGTCCAAGTTGCTATACTTCACATCAGCACATCAATCGAGAATGTACCGAGATGAAAGATATAGAAATCAGGAAGAAAGTAATCAGAAGTGGTCAAAAGGTTTATAATGGTTTTCTGTGGTAGGGAACTAAGAAAATGTTACCTGAAGAGTGCATACATAAATTCTGACAGGTTTCATTGAGTCCTGAATCCATGAAGTGTTCAATGACACTACCTAATTATACCTTCTAAATTACTGTGGAGATTAAGTGAAACTGCCATGATGACCTATTCCAGTTACATTGGCTGGAACGATACCTCAACTTTAAAATGTCAAGTTCAAATGAAGAATGTTGAGAATAAAAAGTCAGTCAACCCGGTACAGGTATTTTTACGCTAATTTGACGCACACTTGTGTTGGAGTACATGCTTGGATAGCCACCACGCGTTGGTCCGAGTGCGTATGTGTCTACCTCTCAATGGACGTAAGAAAAAGTTGGCAACAAGTACTGCTGGACAACAAAGCCGTGTTCAGTTCAGTGAGAAGTTTGCTAGACAGCTATAGGAACAAAAGACTATCACTCATCCACAAAAAGCTTGGTGCCATCTCCAGTCTGCTGTAAAAGCAGTGCTCAAGACCGTAGCCGACTCCGAAAGAGTGGCTGAAAACAGCCACTTGATATCAACAGCTTCTTCCAAACTAATGGATGCACGTGAACGCATCCCTACCTGCAGGCTCTGAGTACAATGAAGAGCGAGCACGACTTAAAAGTACATTCAGAAAACGTCGACGCAACGACCGCGAACAGTGGTGGGTAGTGAAGGCTTAAAAGATGGAAAAGGCGGCGGCGATTGGTAACAGTGGACAGTTATTTAGACTTATTAAGGAGACTAGGGGAAAAAGGTCAACTGAGGTTAGTGAGACCATAGCGGAGAAGGACGAATCTGCGATTCACACGCAGAGCAGACGACTGGAACGATGGGTAGAACACTTCGAGGAGCGGTTTAACTGGCCTCCAGCCACCAATGCGTTGCCCGCTATCCAGTCGCATCCTGAATAGAACATTGAGATAGGCCCCCAACACTAGCAGAAGTCGAGAAAGCAGTAGGTAACCTGAAACGAGGAAGGGCAGCAGGACCAGAAGGACTACCTGCTGAGGTATACAAGGATGGTGGTAAGGTGCTCTTAGTCAGGTTAACGGAAGTGTTAACCAGCATATGGGAATCAAATACGATCCTCTCTGACTGGTCTAAGTAACTGATTATCCCAGTCTTCAAGAAAGGCGAGAAGCCCCCCTGTGATAACCACAGAGGAATCAGCCTGACGAACATAGTGTCTAAGATTGATCCTAGGTTCTATAATTCTTCGATGCCTGAGTGGGGCTCGGGAACAACAAGCCCGAGAAAATCAAGCAGGCTTTAGACCTGACTGCGGATGTATCGACCAAGTATTCACACTGAGCTAGGTTTTGGAACACAGACGCGCTTACCAACGCCCGACACTGGCTGTATTTCTCGACCTGAAGGCGGCGGCATTCGACTCCGTTGATCGAGAAATCTTATGGCAATGCCTCTCACTTAAAGGCGTGCCGAGTAAGTACACCATCCAATTGAAGGCTCTCTACTCGAACACTTGTGGGTGTGTTAGAGAAAAGGGAAGGATGTCAAATGAGCTATACTCATCGGGTTGTGTCTGTCAAGGGTGCCCACTCTCTCCATTATTATTAAATTTTATCATAGCTATTCAAATGGAGGTCTTCCTCTCGTCGCCTGATTACACGGACGTTGACCTAATCGGTGGAGAATTTTTGTTAGACCTAGAATATGCAGATGACATTGTCCTGTTAGGTGAAGATGCTGACAAGATGCAAAGTCTTCTGAACACTGAGTGGCAATTTGAGAATGTTTGGGATGTGTTTCTCACCACCCAAATGCAAATTGTTGCTCCACGATTGGTCTTCAACGGTGCCCCACCGCGGCTAACAATAGAGAGTGTAGTGACTGTGTGTCTACCACTTCACTATTTACCTGGGAAGTAAAATCAACCCTACGCTGGTGGCTCAGTGGCCGGTGAAATATCTGCACGGATACAAAAGGCTCGTTTAGCTTTCTGCAACTTACGCCACCTGTGGCGCCGCCGTGATATCCGATTGTCTATTAAGCGTCACGTGTACTGCACCTGCACAGCAGTCCCCTATGTTCTACTGTATAGTTGTGAAACATGGCCATTGAGGGTGGAAGATATGAGGATGCTTCAGGTGTTTGACCACCGTTGCCTCCGTAGTGTAGGCCGTATTCTGTGGTGTCACTATGTGAGTAACGATTACCTCGTCACACAATGTTGGCCAAAGTAGGTCCAGGCTGCAAAAAGGCTCGAGGTGGCCAGACTAAAACATGGTACCAACGTATGAAGTTTTTGACTGTTGGTTTAAGCCATATGGGGTGATCCAGACTAGGTGGTTGGGGTCCGCGGGACAAGGGGAGAGACTCTAGATGATATAGCTGAGAACCGATGTCAATGGCGCAGATGTATACATACATTATCCTCATCTTAACGACGCTACACCGAATCTCACCACCTTCTCATTCTTCCTTTCTTTCATTTAGCATTTTATATTACTATTGACTTAATTTTCTTTTCTTCATCTTCTATTTCACTGTGTTTTTACTTTATGTACCGATATGAGGTGTGGCAACTCGGACCGTTACGCAGTAATGCCTGGTCCTAGGTTGATCTGGATGGATGGACACTTATTGTGTGAAGACTTTTGACAATACCTCGCTGCATAGACTGGATTCGGTGAAAATAAGTTTTAACGCGGAAACCATTGAGTGAAATTCAAGCGCTTAAGCCAATAAAATACACCTTCACTGACCAAACAGGCGCTTAAAACATTCAAGAAACAATTCGTAAAAATGATTGTACTAGGGTATATCAACAGTAAGAATCCTCCAAAAAATCTGGGATCCGTGGTTACTTCTGACTATCGAAAGGCTTTAGGTAACATCAATCATGAGGAGAAAACAACTATGCTCCAAACAGTTCCAACGCAGGTAGTATATTCCCATAAGTATCAGATAAACGCATGTAAAATCAATTCATACACATAAGACATTATTGACTTTAGGCAGGCATCTCTTGGTTCTTGTGATTACGATCTCCGGTCATTATGAAGAGAAAACTTCGTAAATGCAGGGGCATTACCACACTAATCTATGAAATTTACTTGTGGTAGCTAGTAGTACTAACTGGAGTGTGAATCCAACTTATGACTCGCTGGTTGTAATTCAGGTACCGGTCCCAATGAGCATGTTTCACTTTTAATTCAGCTAAATGCTTAGACATATTGAGTAGTCTACAATGAAAAAGGTTATCATAAGAGAGGTATTGAAAAAGATAAATTAACAGTCAGGTTTCAAAACAAGTGACTTGAACGATATAATGAATAATCTGAGGAAAACTTGAACAAGTCTCTGGCTCACATTTGGCTACCAGAATGTCCAACCACATTTTGAATGCTACGCTGACACTACACTTCCAATCCTTGCCTACACTGTGAAAGCTGTGACTAGCGTGAAGTAGAAAGAGGCAGCATATCGTGATGAATTACATCCAGAAGCCTTTAAGGATAGTAGCTCGGAATTCTGAGCTGGACTCAGGGAGACACACAAACTTTTTTCTAACAGAATATTCGTTTTTGGGTAGTCAGAAATATAAGCCTAACCAACGTCTCCACCATTTTGGCATACATAATCACTTGATAACTAACTAACTGTAGTCCGAAAACAGTGGATCTGAGGGGAAGAGCAGATTTCAGGCGAGGGAGGGTATACTGACTGGACACTACACTCTCCTCAACCTCTGAAGGTTGCGGGGGATACGACAGGAGCGAAGAGCAAAACACTTCGAGGAACAGTTAAACTGAACTCCAGATGATATTCCATAGCCCACTAACCAGACGGATCCTCAATGGAACACCGAGATAGGATCCCAAACATATGCAGACGAGAAAGCTGTAGGTAATTTAGACAGAAGGGCAGCAGGGTAAGACCGATTAGTACTAGATGTAATTAAGGATGGCAGTAGAGTTTCTAGTGAAATAACCTGGTACTAACTGGTGTATAGACGTCTGAAATGATCGTCTCCGGTCTCAACCATAGAGTAACTCAATATTTAACAAAGGTGAGAAGTCCTATTGTGATAACCAGAGGGAGATCAACCTGACAGACATTGTGTCTAAAATTCAAGGTCCTATAATCACTAGACGTCTAAGTAGATTTCGGTAACAAAAAACCCGAGAAAACCAAGCCGACTTCAGACATGGCTATCGCTTTGTCAACCAGATGTTCACACTCCAGTAGGTTGTGGAACACAGACACAATTACCGACGTCCAACGCCGACTGTATTTTTAGATCTGAAGGCGGCATTCAACTTCATTGATCGAGAGGTTTTG